TTACAACTTTACATGTAATTGAACAAGTATTCCTCTAACAATTTATAAAATTAAATACTCTATTATATCCCTCTCGTCAATAATGATACCTTTAGCATATTTTGCCTCTACTGCTCCGAATGTGTGCGTATTCCAATTGCTTTAAGTTTGTTAAATTTACTATGAAAAACTAAACTTAGCTGTACATTTATTTGATCTAACTGCTTGCTGACATTTGTCAACCCCATCTTTCTCCCATTCTTGAAGTTACTTATACTGATACATGATTGGTTCATTTGTTTTCATGTGGACTTGGGATCTCCACATGTCTAAACATATCTTTATCTTCTGCTCATTCACCAACAATACTCAACCTGCTGTTGACAGCCTATGCCTCATTTTAAAATATATCACCAACAAAAGTTCTCTTGATTTAAAGTGCTCCCTTTTCATGACTGGCTGGTCTTTCCTGCTAAATTGGTAACAGAGATGTTCTTAACCTTCCTCTTGCTTCTTGCAGTAACTCAGCTTCATTGAAGAGCATGTCTTCCAATTTCTCAAATTGGTCTCCTGCTTTTGAATGACTGAATCATTCCCACATTTTCCTCTCCACGCTCGTTCTTTAAAGAGTGACATCTCTGTCAGATTCAAGATGGCTCCCATCAGAGACGCATGGCTCACTGTCCAAAAAGACCCAAAGGAAGAGAAAAGGGAAGACTTTTTATTTCTGATGGTTACATCTTATCGGATTAGAGATCCATTTACCTGTGTGGCAGCAGCAGAATCAACAATAACTCGGCTGGAAGGGTCCTTTTTCATGATTATTAGGGTAGCCAGAATTCGCTGGGTCGTGGCATCTTTCTCTGATGCTTGTTGGGATCATGGTGCTGAGCCATCCCCCCTCCCTGCCTTATTCCTTCAACCTTGCAAATGGGGTTCCTGCAGTGTGAGCCCCACACCTTACCTACCACTTTTGAGGCCAGGACTGGTGCCCACCACGTGTCCCCAGTGTCCCCGCCACTGCCCACTCCTGCCCTGCTACCAGCTAGCCCTGCATGGGGCTGTTCCCCACTATGCTACATACTCTGAAAAAATTCCTCGGCATTTCTGGCAGGTAGAGGACACCCTACTCCCATTCGTGTATTCCATTAGTCTCTGCAGTGGAAATTTAGGAAGATGAGGAGGAAGAGTTCAGCTTGTAGGTTTGCATCACCACCCCTCATGCAGTTTTGTGAAGGGGGTCAGCACACTGACCAGGGTCCCTGGCCTGGTCAGTGCATGCAGCTATGAGGTTACAAAGCTGAGAAGGGGTATTGTCAGCAGACCGGGTGCTCCACTACTTCAGGAGAGGAAAGACTGGAAGCTCTGGGCCAGGGGAGGGCCCGGTCCTTGTGGGAGCTTCAGGGCACCTGGATGTAGCAGGCAGCTTTGGGGGAGCAGGTTACCTAGCAGCGGTGGGCTGGGAGTGATGATAGAGACTGTGTTTGGGAGGCTTTACACAGCACATGTGGGCCATGAGTGGGAAGTAAGGGAAAGAGTAAGGGGCTTGGTTACTGAGAAGGTTTTGGGTTGACTTGGGGCTTCACCACATATTAACCTGCAGCCCATGAAACTCGGTGTGTCAGGGCCTGTTTCCTCACCTGTAACGTGGGTGATGATGATGGCACCACCCTCGGGGCTCTGGGGGGATTGAACGTGGTGCTCTGTGTAAAACACTAACACTGGACCTACATGTGTGGGTCAGCAAGAAGTTCTGGGCTCCTGTTTGTGACAAGAAGAGCTGAGAGGGGCAAAATGGGCTCTTCCCTCTGCTTTCTCTTCCCTCGTATCTCCATTCCTCTTTCACCCTCTGAAGTGACAGCTTAGCTCTCCCTGCCTTTCCTCTGATTCTGGCCTGACACCCCTTTTCATTCCAGCCCCCACCCCGCAGTCTGTCCCTGCCGCTTCCCTTCCAGGACCATCTGCATGTGTGTTTTTGTAACCTTGTCCCCCTGTCCCCACCATCTAAATCCACCCTCTGCCACAGCACTGTTTGCAGATTTACATGGCCTGGGCTTCTCAGAAGACTAGAGCATTTTACTGCCTCCCTCCCCCGTCAGAACCCAGTGATTCATACATTCAGCTTTCCATGTGCAAGGAACGGCTTCAAGGGTAAAGGTGTGGTCGAATGTTTCCATAAAGGGAGCCCTTCTCTGGCTTCTGCTCCCCAGAGAGGTGGCAGACCTCGTGGTGGACAGAGACGGGTCACACACCAGGAAGCCAAGCACGGTCGATTTACTAGGGTAATATCCGCAGGTGAGGTAACAGCACATACAGAAATCCACGGGCAGACACCACCTGGCACCACAAACACCAAAGCGAAGGTGAGGGTCTGGAAGTGGCTTTGGGACATTCTCTTGAAAATCCAAGGGCAGCTTTGGTGCTCAGAGATTCAAACTGAAAACTATACAAAACCAACCCATAAATATATATATATATTATATGTGTGTTTTTATATATATATAAAATTGCAAAATAAAAGCCCAATAAACTTATCATCAGTCTGCACATCAGTGGCTCAAAAAGTGTTAGCATAGAGAAAGGCAAACTGTTCGTGGGGCGGCTGCGTGACCTGGGGCCTGGCATCTCAGTAGCAGGAAGGGCATTTACATGGAACCCCTATTTGAAACTCCACAGTACTAGGACACCCAAACACAGACAAGGTATGTACAAGGGAGACGATCATCGGACACAGACATGTCACTGAAACCACCCACAGTGCTAGCAAACACCACACTCTCCTTCTGGACCCCAGCACCCCAGCCAGGCCAGCCCCTGGGCACTGCCCCTCCTCCTGGGGGTGGACACGGAACCAACTGCTGAGGCCCAACAATCACTCACAACCCAGGCCCGAGAGGAATGAGGTGGAGTTGAAATGTCAGGGTGGGGTCCCCAAAATATATTTCCATTGTGTAAGAACTTTGACATATTTAAACGTGGCCCCTCTTTCCTTGGTCCAACAGCCACCCTCCTGATTCACTTTGAAAGGGAAGATCTGGCTTATGAGCTTCTAAAAGTTATACAAGGTGATTTGCCTGAGGGGAGGAGTTTAGGGTTCTTCTGTTACACCTCCCCACCACCACCTAAACCCTCACAACATTTTCTCCACACGACTTAGAGAGGGGGGACTTGCACATGGCAGCTGGCCTCATCCTGCTGCTGGAACACGGGGTGCGACCAGGAGCCACCAAGGAGCAGCCACACTGGGAAAGCCGCCGGGACGTTCTCACACAGAGCTCTGGCTGCACCCGAGTTCCTCCCTGTGTCAGTCATTGTGACTGCTTCTCCTTCATCTTCAGGCCCCAATTTCCCAAAGCCATGACCCAACTTTGGGGGTTGTCTTGAAGGAAAATGGCACCAAACATCTATCTGACAAAACCTAATACCACCTAAGTATGAATCAATGCAAACCATTACTTCCATATATTTAAGAACACACCCAAGTGGGGGTTCTTTCTAATTGTTCCTAAAAAGAGGAGCCTGTCTAGATAAAAATGATAAAGGAGCTTTCTCCACTAAAGACTGCTCCCTGGCATCCCTGTGTTGGTTCCTGGGCGAGGGTGGCTTCTCACCGTGAGAGGCTGCAGGGTTGGGTTGCTTGGTGACAGGGCTCCGTGAGTGCCCCACCCCGGTGGACACGGGTTGGTTAGACAGGGCATTTGGAAATAATCGCTCCACTCCATATGCGTTATGCACTGTGGCACAAGTGGACCTCTGCAGATAAACAACCAATGAGCATATTTCAGTAGAGTCCGTTCAAGGCCTCTTACTTCTCCTATTACATTATCTCTGTCAGAACAGATGTGGGACACGGGCAGTGAGACGTCCCATCAGGTGTTGAGCTGTGTGAGGTGGCCTGTCCTTTCTGTGGGAGTGCAGAGCATGGATGTATCTCCTCTCTCCTTTCTTCTCAGACTCTTTGAGTTTTATTGTCTTAGACAGTTTGCTTGGGCTCAAGCAGGGAGATGGGAGATGTAAGACGTACTTCCTCTGGGCTCCAAGTCAGCTGCCTCTGTGCCAGGCAGCTCAAGGGTTTCTGCTGACCTGCATGAAAGCAGTGAGTAAGCGCTATAGGTTTTCTCACTTGTTCAAGAGTCAGATATCTGGATACTCTCGACCTGGAACTCAAACATAAACTTTGCACTTGTGCAAAAGACGGCAGACAGGGTGATGGTGAGCTGTGTCCACCTATCCCTATGTGTACCTGCATGAAAAAATCCATACTTCTTTTTAATCTTTCAGACTTCCAGAAGTGAGTTGTGCTCTTGGGCAGATGGTTCTTTCACATCCACACAGTCAGAGAAGCGGCTTTATAGCAGTCTCCCCATGCTGACAAAAGTGGTAGCCCTCTGTTAAAACACTGACAGATGACATCTGAGTGACTGTATGGACACATTCAGTAATGAGGGACACAGCATTAGACACAGGAAGCAGGATTCAAGGCTCAGCAGACACATGAGTCAGTGGTACGAGGGTGATGCTTGGCAGTGGGTTCATCCACACACACCCAGTCCTTGAGGAAGAACTTCGCCGTCTGCAGAGGAGAACCCCTTTGTGTTACAGGAGTGTTGAGGAAGGTTATTCTCATCTGTGCATAACTTGGCTGACATAGGACCGTTCCTTGGGTCACCTGAAGGCCAGGAGGCTCTTAGGGAGCTCAGATCTGGGCTGGGGGTTGTATCTTGCCAGCACTTTTTGCAGAGTTCGAGGGAAGCTCACAGGGTGTGGATGCTCCCACACACCACTGCTGGAGAGTCACCAAGACTCCACTTACCTCTCTGTAATCATCGCTCCCTCTGCCTCCCCTCTCCTGCCCATCTTCCCAAGGAAACAGCCTCAGAATCCTCTCCACTTTTCAGCTCAGCTGGCCACAGCACAGCAGCCTGGTTCCATGTTCTCATTCCTTTTCCGTAGCATACCCAAGCTCAGAATGAACTCCTGCTACCAATTCTGACCTTCCCATATATATATTTTCTCCACAGATAGTGGCCTGAGTTTTCAACCAGCTTTTAACCAGAGCCCAAAGCAATGCCCGCTCCTGTCACTCCAAAAGCCTGTGGTGCTGGTTGGATGGCTCATTCGCTGCAGCAGCACCCCATGTGCGGCAGCAAGCCTGGAGCTGAGCACGCCACACCCAACAAGTGCGAAGGAAGACCAACTACACAAGCCGGCAGAGAACTGGAAATGGCTCTTTGAGTCTCTTCCTCTTTTTGTGGAAAATCTCTCTTAAAATGTCTCATCCAAATAATTTGATGGAAATGAATTCTGTGCTGGAAGCTCTTTTTGCTATAAGGGAAAAAGTAGTGTAAGGCGGGTGATCAAACATGGTTTAGATCAGATGTTTCAGAAAGGCCTCATTATGAGGACATCTTCCATGCCTCTTTAGTCCATTCTCTGCACAGCCTCCAAAGGTTTCCTAAAATCCAGGGCTGATCATGCCTCTACCCTGATGATAAGTCCTCAGTGGCTCCAAACCCCTTACAGGATAGAGTCTCATCCCTCCATACTTTCTATAAGTTTCTTTATGGTCCAGCCCTGCCCACCACCTGTGAAATGAACTACCCCATCCCTGCCCCCCGCCCCCACACCTTAGGCTCAGGATGCACTGAATTGCTTGGTGCACGAATCATGGAGTTTCACACTTCTGTGCCTTTGCACGTGCTTTTCCCATGGAAAGTCCTGCCAAATCTTTTGTCCTCATGGGAAATTTCTCTTTGTTCTGAAAACCTAACTTAACCGTTGCTCCTTTCAGGAAGGTTTCTCTGGCCCAGAAGATAGTAAATCATTGCTTTCTAATGCCCCCTCTGCACTCTTGCTGTTCGTAACTTGTCTGCATGCCTCCTTTACTTAGGAGCTTCCTGTGGGAAGGGATTAAGTCCTGCCACCCTCAGGCCTGATCCATGATCCAGGCTCTCATGTGTATTTTGAGTTTCAAGGAATGAACAAATGGATAGATACGAAGTCGACCCAAGGCATAAATTCTAAGGGCAATGCTCACATTCCAGCAAGCTCTGGCATGTTCATCTAAATGAGGCTTCACTGCTGTAAAAGGAATACAGAGAATTGATTCAATGCAGAGTCAATCAACACATCTCTGAGCTACAACCACTCAGACACAAAATGCTGCCTCAGTGATTGTGTCCGCTCCACCCTTTTCTTAACATTGCTTGCCACTGATTATTCTAGTCACAATGATTATTTTCTTTTAATGTCAGCATAATCCCTGACATTTAGTGGGTGCATAACAAATATTGTGAAGGGAGTGAATGAATGAATGAATGGCAAATCTACTTTTTTAAAGAAGGCATCAAAGGATTAGCTTTTAAAGGCATTCCCCACATCACAGACTTTTCTGAGGCATCAGTGCCCCTGATCATTGGGTTGTCCATCAAGACCCAATCAAAAAGTAGAATGGGGGAGGGGTGCATGAGGGTGGAGGATGGGGTGAGGGCGGCTGGGGTAGCAGATGGGACTCTGCACTGGAGAGACACAACGTTGGGTTTCCCTTAGTCATGTGTCCGTTTCTTTCCTCCCCAAGAAATGGCCCAACGATGTATGGCATTTCCTGCCCCAACCAGAAGACCGTTGCATCTCCTTTGCCAGAGGTCCACTCTGGCCTTGCCACAGTCCCTGTTAACCAGGAACTTAATGTGCACTGGTGAGGGAGAACACAGGTAATTTCCTACCTTCATTGCAAGTACTGACATTATGCAGTGGAGACACAAAAATGAGTCCTGGACTAAAACCACGGCCCTTGGGGACTGGAGATTTCTGATCACCGTAGCTGTTAGAGCAAAGGCCCTGGATTCAGGCTGACTTAGAGGGAAATCCAGGTTCTGGATCTTTCTAGCCAAGTCACCTGGCTAGAACAAATCAATTATCCTTTTGGGGGCTCAGTTTACTTACCCACAAAATGGGTCTAATCTTACCCACATCATAAAGTTATCATGAGGTTTAAAGGATGTAATGCATATAGAGCCTACACAGTGTCTATGTATAGAGTAAGTGCTCAAACATGGAAAACTAGGGTTCAGAACTTTCAAAAATACATTTACAACAATCACAAAAAGGGAAAATATCCTTTGAAGACACTGTGCTTTAAAGAGAATGGATTGTCTATTTTTTAGAAGCCAACAATACTCATTAATTAATGCCCCACAGACGAATATGAAAAAATAGTGTTGGCATTTGAAACAATAACTGTGACTCTTATCAGGCCCCAGGATGGACAGATAGTGACAGAGCTGGGGACACCTAAGTATTTCTCTGATTAATCCTGAAAGCTTCATTCTATTCTCCTCTGCTGGACCCAGAGTGACTGAGATGGAACCCGAAGGAGCCAAGGTCAAGGTGCCAAGGGTAAGATGCCAGCTCTAGTCTATGAACTGGTGCTTCTGGGTTTCAGGGAAGGTTGGGGGACACCTCACTGCTGGACAAGAGTGAGACTGGTAGCGCTCCACGTGTCATGCAAAGCTAGAAATGCAGAGCATTTCCCGTGTGGTTTCCATCATCCTCTTATAGCCCAAAGTCAACAGAGGATCTAAATTTCCCCAAATTCCCATCCTGAGCATGAGACAACTGTTTTCTAAGCTGAATTTAGTTTTACTTTTGAAGCTCCTGAGATGCACAGTTTTAATGGGTCAAGCCCCTGGTGCCTTATATTGATTCAGTTATCTCCCGCTGTATGGCTGGCTTGGCTTGCCCTATGTCTGCCAACTCTTACAGCTGTTCCAAGCATAATGCAGGAGGTTCCATGAAGAAAGCTCAGGGGTGTTGGTTGGGGAAGCACAAGCTAAGCCATCAGCCCTTGGGAACAAAGATTAACTTCTGGTGGAGGGGACAAGAGAGTTTGTCTGGTTACTGTGAGCAGCAAGGCAGGGACTCTATGAAAAAGAGAAGAGAGATTCCTAAACAGAGTGATAGCTCCATCAGCAGGAGACTGGGGTCCCATGAGGAGAAGGACCTTGTTCAGGGGAAACCTCAACCTGATTTAGTCTGAGCCAGTGAGAGCTTGTGGCCCACTCTGGCCCTCTTGCCCAGGGCTCAGCTCAGTGGGCAGCACCCTCATGAAGGCAGCCCACAACTAGGCAGTGTTGTGTAGTGGAAAGAGCACTGGACTGGGAGCCAGGAGACCTGAATTTGAGTGCAGGCTCTGCCACTCAAAGCTGTGTGACCTTGACAAAGTCACCTGATTTCTCTGGGGCGGTTGCAAATGAGGGGTTGGTCGGGTGATCTCTGTGTTCCCCATCAGAGTATGGTTCAGGGTCCTACTCTATCCCTCCTTGGCCCTGTGCTTCCAGGGATGGAGATGGGACAGGGAGGGTGGGAGAGGGGGTGCAGATGGGAGCCCTAGGGTGCCACGAATCAGGACTCCACTTTCTCCTTCTTTTTGCTCTTTTTCAGGAAGGATGGGGTTCGGAATTTCTTTTTCTTCTTCGAGGGAGATTTGGAAGGTGAGCCCTCTGGGGACATGGGGCCGCTGGTGACCGACTCAGTTTTGTCCTTAGAGGTGTCAACATCTGTGTCGGCATTGGTGGTCATCTGGCTTAAGCCTTTGCTGAGAATTTCCTCTGCAGTCTGCTCGTCCTCCCTCCCATTGACCACCACCCCTTCCGGCTGCGTTGTTTCGGGCTCTGTGGTGGCTTTGCTTGTTTCTGTCTTCTTAGCACCTTCTGGAAAAAGATCAAAAGATATGATCCATAAGATGTCATTCAGGTGAGAGCTTCCACCTGGGGTTACCAGAACCACTTCTAGGCAATTCTACAAAGGCCGTCCAGAGCAGCAGGAGAGAGAGCAGGCTGATGCTGTAGGGGCCGCGGATAGGCAGGGCTCTCATCCAGACCTCTGAGTGCCCTTCCCCGGGAACAAGCCCTTGGCAGGCAGTGACTCTGGCTCTTGTCTACAAAGGCAAACAGGTGAGGGTCTCCATGTTTGCAGGGGGCCCAGCTGGGGCCCAGCCAGGAGCATTTCTAGGCACAGAATGAGGAAACAGACAACGTGAGGACAGAGGCTATAGGAGATGGGGGAGGGGGGGAATCAGGTACAACTAATTCAGTGGAGGCCTCTAAGAATTGTAACTGGTCCAGTGTCACCAGTAAATGTATGGAAATTGTATGTTTCATATCCATTTCATTTCCTACACCAATGAGGAACCTTTAGAAGAATGGAGAGTTACCTTCTCCACAGGCAGAAAGCAGAAAGCAGAAGGAGGGTGGAATTCCTGAGTGATGTGGACCCCGTGTTTCTAAGGTATGAGGATTAACCAAAAGGGGAAGATACCTTGGCCCATTCTAGCAGCCACCGCCCCACTCCGCACCCCAGGACTTTACCCTGCCTGGAGGGAACACGTTAGGAAGGGCACCATCTCCAAGGCCAGAGCAGCTCACACCCTGGAAACGACACCCTCCTGTGGCCCTCCCTCCCCTCCCCCTCCCAGTCCAACCTGCTTCCACTTGAGCTTTGAAATGCCTGAATGGGGAGGGAGGAGGGGAAAATGACACAACCACAGACTTTGAAAAGCAGAAAGGAACATAAAGATCATCTGGCTCACCTCCTCCCCAATTTACAGGCATGCAGACTGAGTAAGCAGTAAAGGAGGAGACAGCAGTATCCCGGAACCAGTTCAGTGTCCCTTTCACTAGGGAAACTCAGGAGTGTGTGAGAGTGGGAGTGGGAGGGTGTCAGTGTGAGAAGCAGCACGCCACAGAAGGAGCCCGCTGTGTGAGAATGTAATGGGGACAGGCAAGGCTGGAATCACAGAGACAGTGGGTGAAGATGGGTTTGAGGAAAAGGCTGGGGTTCTTGACTGAGGTGAAGCCTAAGGAAATGTATGGTTACAGGACAGAGGGGAGTAAGTCTGGGGACAGTTAGAATGAACTGCTTTAACTCTCTGGACAAGGTCTCGTAACCTCTGAAATTGGCTGGGTAAGTAAAAATTCTCTCCCAGGTGACTTCTGAGGACTGCCTGTCTCTTAGTATCAGAGACCTTGGCCATTGGTCCCCATTCCTACTGTCCCGCCCAAGTACTGCCATCCCCTAACAATCAAGTTCCCCAATGCTCTTGATGGCTATCACTGCTTCTCCCCTCCCTCCACGAATTCCCACAGCTCTTCCCTGGCAGCACTCGTGAATGCAGTAAACCAACAGACCCTGTCCACTCCCCTTACTTCACCTGCTATTTGGCCTCTTGACCCTCCCTGTCACTCCAGCCTGTTTCCCTCTGTCTGTAAGGTCCTTCTCTCTCCTCTCTGTGTCCCCAACCTTCACCCCGTACAATGAATCAGCTTGAGTGTTACCTCTTCCATCAAGTCTTTCCTGACGCCTCCCTATTCCAAGTAGAATTGATCACTTCCTCCTTTCTGCCCTCGCTATGTAAACTTCCATCATAGACACTGTAAACAACCACGCTTACTTGTGTATGCCTATTGCTCCCTCAAAATTGAGACTAGGGCAAGGCTGTGTCTAAATTATCTATGTAATAACTAGCTCATAGAAGGTACTCAAAAAATGTGGAACCTATGAATGGTCAAATGCATGAGCAAACAAATGAATGTACAAATGGTTTTGTTCTAACCAAGCCAACATTATACCTCATATTCTTTCCTGTCTGTCCCAGCCTGCTCCTTCTAAGCTGATCTAGACTCAACCATGTACACAAACAGCAGCCCTGAGTGCTGGCCTTTGTCTCCTGTCCCTAGTCTCCTGTCCCTACTCATCCTCCTGGGCTCATGTCCTCCCATGGTCTACAACCTCAGTTCAGGTTCTCGCCGCAGACCACTCTTTTGGATGACCCATGAGGACATGTCTCTCAAGGCTGACCCTCTCAGATGATTTTGATACTTGCCTTCTAGCTCCATGAACATAACTGTGGATAAGAGGGGCCTTCTCTCCACATGTCCTTTCCTGCCCTGGTGGATGAGTATCCTCGCTCTAACACTGACCTTCATCCATTCTCTTCACCCATACCCACCTTGCTGTCAGCCTCATCTACAGCCTCAGCCCCTGGTCTGTGTCTTGGTTTAGGAGAGTGGTACTCAAACCTCTTCTCACTACCCAGAAAATGTGGCCACACCAAATACACACACCAAGATCACAGCTCCCATACTATCAATTGTATGGGGGAGAAGCAGTGAATGAAAGTGGGGCTAACAGAGACACAATGGACCTTGGAGGATCCAGGCTTCAAACTGAGGTCACCAGTCCCTCATCTATAAGGGACAGAGACCACTGGAGAGCTCGGTTGCCTGAGAGAAGGGGTTACCCAGCCAGGGCAGCAGAAATAAGCACTTACTGGACTCCTGGAAAATATCAAGGACCAGATCTGAGAGCCTAGACCCCTCCTCTGTTAACAGCTCAACAGAGTTAAGGATGGAACTACATGGAGCTCTCCACTGGTCTTTGGCAAATTGGAGACCAGGCTGAGAAGAGCCCCAGGAGCTAGGGGCAGATGGGAGCTTGTCTTCCAGCATCCCCTAAGAACAACCACTGGTGTTCTCTCCTGGGTGGAATGCTTAGAGCTCTGGGAGTAGGTGATAGATGTGGGGGTGGGTGGAGTGCAGCAGAGGCTGAGAACTGGGGTCTCTGTCCAAGGATGGTGGCCAGGAAGCAAGGGGAAGGGGAGAAAATTCAGAAAGTGGGTAATTTGGAGCAAGACTAAACTTGGCATCCAGGGTCAAAATCCAGACCCCTGTGAATGGGGAGACTAAGGGCTGAAAGTCTTGCAGAGGATGGAGGAAGTAGGGAGGTGCTTCACAGGGAGGTCCCCAGCTTGTTTGGGCATTCCACCACAGACTTGATTTCTCACCATACCTCACCTTCCAACTATTCATTGTCCCTCCATCTTCCAGTGTTTCTTTCAAGATGCTCAGCTTCCTGGCCACCACTCCTGGAGAGCCCACTCTGCTCCTATCTGCTAGTCCAAGCATTTGTCAACCCAAGGTCTGGCTCAAGCCTCCCTCAACATTTGACAATGATCTTGCCCTCCTCTAAACCTACTGCCACTATATTCATTCTACACTTGCATGTGTCATTTATATTTCTTTAAAGAGTCCACACTTGGCTGTGGCCCTCCTTTCCCACCACACACATTGAATCTAGGCTGGCCCCATGGCTCACAGTAACCAACAGAATGCAGAGAAATTGCCACTGGGCCAGCCTAAGGCCAAAGACTTAAAAAAGCCTAGCAGCTTCTGCTTTTATAATTTGAGGAACTCTGAGTCATCATGTATAAAGTCCAACTACTCTGATGGAAACACACACAGAGAAGTCCTACAACCACACATAGAGAGACAGAGACACAGAGACAGACAGACACCACCCCAGTGTTCCAGCTGAGCCCAGCCTTCCAGCTGTCCCTGCCACGGCACCTGGCATGTGAGGGCACCACCTTGGAAGTTCCAGCTGAGTGAAGGTCCCAGGTGACTGCCGCCCCAGCTGACATTGGTGGAGCAGAAGAACCATCAAGCTGAGCGCAGTCAACCCACAGAAGAACTAATTTCTATAAAACCAGTTCTTACCATGCACCAAGATTTAATGATTATCTATTGCTGCATAACAAACAATCCCAAAACTGAGTAGCTTAAAATAGCATGTGGTATATTCCCTCTCACAGTCCCAAGAACATAGTACATAAGAACCCACTTGTCTAAGCATATCACAAGGTATTCTTATATTCATTAGCTCATTTTTTCCTGGTAACAATGCTATGAGTTAGAAAGGGCAAGGGTTCATGTTGCTCCTCCATTCTGCAGTGTCTTGAAGTGACTTATTTGGGATGGCTAAATTAGTAAGTGGCAGAGCTGACCACATGATGTTAAATGCAGGGCTATTTGTAGGCATAGCTGGTGCTCCTGAGGGGTCCCTGGGGGATGGAGCCATTAGGGACAGGGACAGGCAGGAGCTAGTCAAAAAGAAGGCGATGGCAAGAGATGGCCAGATTTAATTGAAGAGGATTGAAAGATGCTTGTTCAGAGAGGCTGATGGGGTAAGAGGAAGGGAGACTGATAAGTAGTGACACTGAGGTGATTCAGCACACGAGGATGTGAGAGCACGGTTACCCACAGTGAAAAAGCCATCCCTGACCCAATGGGTGAGCTAAATGTGAAACTGTAGATGCTGCTCGGAGGGTCAGCCCTGTCGGCCCTGAGGAGCTGGGCGAGCTATTGGGCAGCTGGCCAGGGCCACTGCCACCACTTCACACTGGTGACATCACGTGGTATCCGCTCCAAGGAGGCCCACACTCCCCAGCTCAGTCTGCATTATCAGAAGAGTCTTCAGGGGAGACCTTCACTTTTCTAACAACTCAGCTTCAGTGTGCTCTCCACAGGGGCATATAGAGTGTAGGAGAGAAGCAGGAATCCTGCTGCAAGGGGATGATGTCAGGTGGTGGGTAAGCAGTTATCCCTCCTCCTGCCCTCTGTCCTGCCCTCTGTCCTGCATCCTGCCAAGCAGCAGAGGTCACTCCACTGGGCTCCCAGGAGCTAAAGTAAAATTGCCAGCCCTTGCCCCACTCCTGACATGAGCCTCCTCTCCAGCCTGGATGTCCTTTGTGCAGTAGGTATGCATGCCTGAGGGATGCTGCAGACAGCAGTCAAGCCAGGTGCTCTATGCATCCCTATAAGGTAGTTGGTCCCTAGAACACTCAGGCTCTGGCCCACAGCCCTACAAGAGGTCATGGGCTCCTTGGAGGTACCCATGCATTAGGAAAGGGACGGAGATGTACTCCAAAGGGCCATCAGCACACTACCACAGGGAGTGCCCAGCAGCTGGCTCCACTGCCCATTCACTGTGGGGGCTTGTTTCTTCTGGGTGGCATGCTCTGTGTGAGTACTGGTGTGTGATGGTGGATGGGTGTGTCCTAAGTGTGTATATCTTTCAGGGAAGTCTGGTCCATGCATAGTACATATGGAATCGGTCATGAATTTCACAGCCAGGAAAACTCCCGAAGGCAGGGTTGTGAGTTGCAAAAGAAAAAAATGGGGAGAAATATATTTCTTTTGAAAAAGTCCTCCCTCCCCCATTGTGAGTGTTGGAGTGAGTTAGTAAACAGCCTCTCTATACTTACTACAGAGACAAGTATTCAGAATCGGAGGAAACTCCTTTGATGAAGGCACAAATGGGAAGAGAAAGGAAAACATTGTGGAGACAGGTTGACAACACACCACGATGAGACACAATGAACACAAACAGCGGGGAGACATCCGCTTGGGGCTCTGGCCTCAAGTAGATGGGTTTCCTCTGGCAACACTGTGTCCGCCTGCGAGGCAGCAATTCACCTATAGAGGGCGCAAAGGGGTCGGATGATTCTGGCAGCTTCCACAAATGTGGCCATTCTAGCCAGGAGGGAGAAGAGCCCAACAGGCCACCAAGCTGCCGCTAACCCCTTGTGTGGAGGCACAGCCTCCTGTCGTGTGGGCTCTGGAGACCCGGGGAAGAGTGTTCACACCCAGGAGTGATTCCAGGAACTCGTTAAAGACTCTTTCATGATCTAGGTAGTATGGACTGTAATACTATCATTATCCCTCATATGTATTATTAACCTTAACTGTAATTACATCCTACATGTAAACCACACTTTTACTCTTCCAGAGTATTTTTCATCTACAACTTCCCTTATGCATATAAGAACCTTAAAAAGGGAAAATAGCAGCCCCATTTGACAGACAAGGAAACTGAGGCTCAGAGATTATCTGACTTTCTAAAATCAGTAGTTGAATTATTATTAGTAGCTGCTGAGTTGGACCTAGAACTCAGTTCTCCAAACTAGTAGGCTTCATTCCTCCCCACCCCCACCCCTCTGATTCTCAAGTGCAGTGAAGGTTGAGGATGACCTCACCAGCCTCATCTGAGAGCTCACTGGAAATGCAGAGTCTCGGGTCCCACACCAGACTGGCTGCACCAGAATCTTCATTTAACAAGATCCCTAGGTGATCCCTGGGCACACTAAGGTCTGAGCCCTGGGCTAGCATCTAGAAAGGCCTATCAATCAGCCAACCCAGTCTGAGTTAGAGGTGAGAAGGCTGTGTCAGCCATGAACTTATTCATCACTTGTTAAACTTGAAGGTATATGGTCACAGGTTGTGAATTAAACAAGCTTAAGTTGGGAACCTCTATTTCAGATTCCCCAGAAATGGCAGAGGGGAAAGCTTTTTGGGTAGAGGGAACAACACCTGTTGAAAGGCAGGTACCTGTCTGTACACGCCTGCCCCGCCTTCCATGCAGACCCCACCCTCAGCCTGTGGAGGCACCTCCCTCCCTCCTGGCCTGTCAGCTCAACTCACCATCTAAAGACTTGGCGGGAGAGACCACAGGGCTCTTTGTCTCCGACTTCACTGGGCTCTGTGCAGGAGAAGCAGGTGCTGACTTTACAGGTGAGCCAGGCTCCTCTGCAGTGGTTTCTTTCTCTCCTGAAAATACAGAAAACCACCTCAGGGTAGAGGTCAAGCAGAGGAGAGATGGATGGAGAGGACATGAAAAAATTGCTTTCTTTTACTTGGTCCTCATTTCTCCTGGCTGGAGCTAGCTGCTCCCCTAACCTTTCGTTATTTCTGCTACATCCCAGGGGAAGCCAGTGGAAGGAGTCCAAGTCACGTTCTGTTTCCTCCACCAAAGCACATTCAACCACGAAATCTGTCACCCCTGATGCAGACGGCAAGACTGCAGGAGCGTTGCCACCCACGATTTGGTGGCATGTAGCTCATTTTTTGCTGATCTAATTTACATGTTCAGTGCAAACAATGCCTAGGGATAAAAAGCACTATACTTTCCTACCTACCTTTTCAAATGGCACATTAGAACGCTGAGCAAGCCAGCAAGGTTTTTCTAGTGCCTGCTTGGCTCGTAGGAAGATGTCTGACTCTGGGTGGGGAGGCGGATGGTGGAGCGGGACCCTGCTCTCAGGGAGTGAAAGCCTAGCCTGGTGGACAAAGCCAAGGGCTGATTTCTGGGTCTCAGACTCCACATGCTCCTGAGGCAAAGAGAAGGGACAGCTCACTGTGGAGGGTGGGGAGAGACAGAGCAAGCTTCTTAGCAGGAGGGGACTTTGAGATGGAGCCTGAAGTATAGGTAACTCTGGTCAGGCTGGCCAGGAAGGGACAAGGGCATGAACAAGGGCATACGAATGATCATGAGTATGAATATCTATCTGGGAGTTGACAGGGAGAGAAGGGCTCAGCCAAAGATCCTGAAATGAACGAGGCGTGAGAAAAAGACATAAAGAAGTCAGCTGGTGGAGAGCTTCAATTGCCTAAAAATTTATACCAGCTCTGAAAGACAATAATTAATAATTATCAGTATTATAATTTTCCATTATAGCTAACATGTATCCAGTGTTTTACTGGCCTGTTCCATATTTACAGGTGACACTCTGAGCACTCTACAAGGTTTAACTGGTTATACCCAGCCTAGAGGGTCGGGTGAAGTGCTGAGGACACGGTGTAACAATGAGGGTCGTTATTGTGATTAATATAGTATTATGCTAGTAAGAATATCATTTGGTGATTGGGCATGAAGGTCAAGTTGAGAATACAATAAGAAGCATTAAAAGTGAAAGCAGAGCCCCACTGAGCCTGCCCTGAGCCCCGAGGGCCCTGCCGGGGGAGGCACGGGTGCAGGGCTGCTCTGCTCAGTCTCTGGGCCTCGCCAAGCCCTCCCTGCCACCCCGCAAGATCCTGCAGCACTGGGTTCTTTACCTTCGAGTTCCAGTTTCTTCCTCTCCACCTCTTTCTTGTATTCCTCCAGCTCCTGGTCAGTGAGTTGGCTGAAGGGGTTGGGCACTGTCTCCTCTGACTCATCTTTGGTATCCGTGTCGCCCTTGGCCATCAGCTGGCTCTCTGTAGACTGAAAGTTAACCACAGAGTGCGTGTTGTTCTCTGAACGCCGGGGTAGGGCCCAGGCTCGAGCTTTCTTTCAGACTCATGTGGCTGCCAGTGGTCTTGCTAGGGACAGCGTAGCATGCAGCTCCTTGGAAATGGCACAGGGTCTCAGGGTAGGGCTTGTTCACTCTTCCCTATGGCTACCTCACTCCCAGACCCATATTCTTTGCAACTGCCTAGATGAATGCGGGGATCCACCCTCTGCCCCGCAAATAAAATCAAAGGATGCTCCCAAGCAGGAGGAAGACAAAGCTTTATTGCAGTCCTTCCTGTAGATGCTTGCAAGCCATCACTATGCAAATACAGTCAGCGGCCCAAAGTCAGTCAGCCCAAATCCAGCAAGCAAAGGGTTGGCTCAACCAGCTTTGTGCCAGCTGTCCCCACCATGCCCCACCCCACCCCCCAAAGCAGCACAAGCTATAGCACACAGCAGCAAAACACACAGTGGCTTCAGCGTTCTCAGTCCAACCTATTTGTCCTATTTTGCACAGTCATAAATTACAAGGGGACCAGGGTCCTGAATCTTGGATCTTCAACCTCTTGTACTGCAGGTCCCATGGGGATATTGGCAAAACCACTGTTTCACCACCTCTGTGGAGCCCCTTGCTCTGGGAAGCTCACTAGATGGGTAACCTTGTGTAGCTCTATACAGGGACTAAAGTTCAGACTCCACAGTCCTTTTTCCTAATCCAGCACCCTCACCTTGACCTTTGGGAATGCAGACCTCTGAAGCTGAGGAGGAGGCACAGAAAGTAAAGCCCAGGGGAGGGGAGCTGGGGGCAGCTGGCCCACACCACGTCCTCCAGGCCATCTCTCCCGTGGGCTCCTTCCAAAGGAGGGCAGCACTGGGCCTATCTTAAGGAATCATGGGGTTCAAAAGAGAGTCCAAGACCAGGATTCCAAGAAGAGGGACTCCAAAGAGAGCATTTGGTATAATGACAGAGTTGGGTGTTTTTTTAAAATAATTTTGCTCATTGCTTTGAACTCTTACCTCCCCCCAGTACATGCAGCATTTCTATCCTCGACCCTTTGGCACATTCAGTGTTCCTCAGCTTGGCTGAGTAGAGGTGGGGGTGGGGGTGGGTGCGATGATATAACCTTCCCATTCCTCCTGCCAATGGGCACCCGCCTTGTGGGCTGCAGCCTGATCAGAAGTCATGGCATCACCTCAGTCTGCTCAGCTGAGCACAGTCGTTCCTGTATGCCTCCTTCCTCACTGCTGTGGAAGATGCCATGCCCGCTGCTAGCTTGTGAGGAGCAGCAGTTATTTCCAGCATGAGCCAGAATTCTGACCTTCCCCTCTTTCGATAAGCACTAGACAAACACTGTTCTAACTCAAGCATGGAGATAACGACTTTATACTTTCTAACTCTATGTGGGTCTGTGTGGGCGACTCCCTGCCCCTATCACTGGTGGGAGCACCGGTCCCTATATATACACCATCCCTCTGAGGACACATGGGCATTGTCCCAGAGCCACGACCTCATGATGCCATATCCACACAGAGGCCAGAAATGCTCAGGACAGGCAGGGCTGGAGCAGCTGGGAGCTGCCAGCCACATTTCTGTGACCCCCACTGTGCAAGATACTAGTAGAGGGCAGAGTGGAGTTCCACGTGAGAAGCGTAGAAGCCAGCGTCACTCACGGGGCAGGCTGGGCAGCTGCTGCCCTACCCAGTGCCCACAGGGTGTGATTAGACACTGTCCCTGGTCCTCACAGCATCCATTTTGCAGCAAAGCACCAGCACCCAAGATCCCAGGGGAGGTAGGCATGAGGACTCAGGGGTCCTGCTGCCCAGCCCCGGGCACTGAAGACCCAGAAGGCAAACTTGTTTCCCCTCCAGACAGGGGCCGTCTCTGCTGTACCGGGCTTCGGCTCTTCTCAGCAATGACGCTTGCCAGGAGCTGGGACTGGGGTCCCGCTGACTTCACATCTTGTCGGTTTTGTTCTCGAATCTATGTGGAAAAGGAAGGGGAGAGTAAGCCCAATGTAAGGCTGCAGAGTTTGGGAGGGCATTCCCAAGGCATACTGGTGTCTAGTGTGGCCGTGACTTGGTCTAAAAAGTCCCACCAGCGCTGTAGGAACCTGTTTCCTTGATTTCTAACACAGTCCGTCCACTGTGACACAGTGGACATGCAACACCAGAGTCTCACGGACTCGGAGATGATACCTGCTGGAGGTGAAGAGCCAAAGAAGGCGCAACTGATCCTTGAGGGAGATTCTCAAATTTTAATATTCCTATGAAGACCCTCAGGGCTTTGTTTAAAATACAGATTCCTGAGGCGCCCCCCCGCCCCACACACACACACTTACTGAATCTGAATCTCATGGGGGCAGGTGACCCAGAAATCTGCACTTTAAACAAGCACTGCAGAGGGTCCTTGGACCACATAGTGAAACAAAGTGCTGTGAGTGTGTCTGACCAACTGGAGGTGGTCTGCTACAACCTCGGTTTTTAGGGTGACCTTAGAAATAGAAGTGAACTATAAAGCAAAGGTAGAAAAATAAATATAAAGATTTTGAAATCTTGGTCAAAAATATAATAGCATAAATAGCGTAAAACTCATAAAGACTCAATCTGTGGGCAGGTCTCTTAGACACCCCCGATGCCCACAGCAAGCACCTCTGTGTCAGAGGGCCCACCAGACGCCGCAAGTCCAGCACTCAGCACAGTGCTGGGGGCAGAGCCAGGAAACAGTGCTGTCTTTCCCACGAGACACATCAGGGTGTCGGTGAGCCAGGCGCATCCTGACCCTGCCCCCCACCACTCTTGAGGGAAAAGAGAAAGCGAGACAACTAGTTACCACCTTACCTTGTTCCGCATCTCCAGCACTTCTTGGGGGTCGGTATAGAGAGGCACAAATTGGTTTGGGTTTTCGATCCGTATTGGCATACCACTGCTGGATTTCTCCACCTCGTCAGCCTTCAGCCACTGAACACACACAAGGCCGGGGGTGAGGCAAGAGGATAAGGCTCACGCTTCCTCCACCAAGCTCTGCCCCATGCTGTCCAGGCCCACCGACCTTCGTGGGAGGTCAGTAAGCCTTATGCACACATGTCCTCTCCCCTCTGTGGTGTCTGTCTCCCAGAGCAGGATGGGCAACAAACGGCCCAGCTGCCAAAGAAGGCCCCAGGCCAATAGCCACAAAGAACACCTAGGAGGAGGGGTCAGAATCTTGGTGACCAGCACTGACAGGCAGGCAGCCACTTGAGCTTACGAATGAGATGACTCCACATTAATTTGCAGGGCTTCATTTTTTTTTTTTATGAAGAGCTATTCTATCTGGCTGCCAGCTACTTCAACGTTAAAGAAAAATCAGAGTAAGTGCCAGAGTGTGTGCGTGGTGGGGAGGACGACGTAGTAGAAAGGAACATCCCACCCACCTCCTGGGCCTGCATCAGACGTGCAGTTCAAATGTTGGATGCCCAACCTTGAACTTGCCAGAATTCCCCTCTAGATGTGGGAGCAAGAAGCAAAAGTCAATTGCTCCTCCCATTTAGGCTGCTGGGGTGACCCAGTCCAGCCATCCTCTGGACCCAAAAACTCCATGCAGATGCACGAGAAACGGGTGATCCAAGGCTCCCTGGGCACGAACAGCTGCTCCCAGACGCCTGACAGGAAGCCCGGCGGGGAATCGGAATCGGACTGACACACACCCAGGGCAGACTTGCTCTGTCCCCCTGTTTTAAAGCTGCTTAACACATAAACATAACTGAGCACTCTCCCCAGCCCTGGTCTCCCCCAGCAGGAGACCCCTCTGCCCGCCTTACGGTGGTCTTGGGCCGGGGGCCGCCCATGCTCCTCTGGACCTCGTCGGCCACGTTGACCCGCAGGTAGGTGTTGGGTGTGTTGAGCCAGCGGGTCTTCTCCTTTTGCTGCTTCTGGGCGTGCTGCCGCAGGGTGGGCACCGGGGTGCCGTCCTCCTCAAACACGAAGGCTGTGACTGTGGCTGGAATCTCCACCTCGCTTTTGTGTTTGGTTTTCTCTTGAACAAAGGGATAGCGGTACGTGTAGCCTGTTCTGTAGCCCTAAGAAGGACAGAAAGAGAACCACTTAATGTGGGGGAAAGGGTTTGTATGCACCTGCATGCCCACCACACACCCACCCATGCACTTCATCCCCTTCTATGTAACAACACAGTGCAGGCCTATATCTCCACAGTACAACCTAGACCTTGCTGCTTCCTTGGTGTGTTTCTTGGTGCCTGAACCCCTCCCTCCTTCCACCCCAGAAAGCCCTCTGATCAGGCTGAGAAAATTCCTGTGACCTTATGAACTCCATGGAGCTCCTTACCTAAACAGAGCTCCATCTTTTCATCTGGTGCAGTGGTTCTCAACCCTGGCTGCACATTACAACCACATGGGAACTTTAAAAATGCTGATGCCTGGCCCTGGCTGGTGTGGCTCAGTTGGTTGGAGCATTATCCCATAAACCAAAAGGTTGTGGGTTCAATTCCTGGTCAGGACACATACCTAGATTGCAGGTTTAGCCCCTGGTCGGCGTGTGTGTGAGAGGCAACCAATTGATGTCTCTCTCACACATCCATGTTTCTCTTCCTCCCTCCCTCCCTTGTCCTCTCTCTAAAATCAATAAGCATGTCCTCCAGTGAGGAAGAAAAAGCTGATGCCTGGAGGCCTGCCCATTTCATCAGAGGTGATGTGGTCTGAGCTACAAGGATTTTAAGCTTCCCAGCTGATCCCAACAGTCAGCTTTCCCATCCTCAACTCCAGGGCATAACTCTTTCCCTCTTAGAGCCCTGAAATCTGACTCACGAACATCCCTGTCTCCCAAGCAAGACCAGCCCCACAGAGGCGGAGCGCATTGCTGCTCAGAGAGAAGGAACAGTCGGGAATCTTGGCAGCTGGTGGAGCGATTCTTAGCTCTGACCTGTCTAATTCTGTTTTGCTCTTTTTAGGGTACCTAGAAAAATTGGATGTTCTGAATTTCATTGAATGACCACTTGAATCTCTTCCTTTGTAAACTGTTGGTGTTCTCCATTCACTTTTCTGCTGAGATGCTTTTCACATTGATTTGTGACGTCTTTGCAGGATGTGGTCTGTCGCAGGTATTGTGTGTAGCTCCTCCCAAAGTTTGTCTTTCAGCTTTGAGTTTTAATGTAACCGTATCTGTCAACATTTGTCACCATGATTTCAGACTTTCCCGCCATGCTCGACAAGGTCTGCCCCAGCACAAGAGCATCAAAAGTACTGATCTCCATTCTTTAATGCTTGTATGAGTTTATTTTTATGTTTTAATATTTTTATCCTCACCCAAAGACATGCTCATTGATTTCTAGAGAAAGGGGTGATGGAAGGAGGGAAAGGGGAGAGAAACATCGATGTCAGAGAGAAACACCGATTGGTTGCCTCTAGTTTGTGCCCCGACTGGCACAGTGAGGCTTTAGTGTTGTAACCGTGATGTTGGCAATTCCGATGCCCCCCCTAGTGCCTCGTACTGACTGGCCCAGGGGCTAGGCCTCAACAGACTGGCCTCGAAGCACAACGGCAGGAGACTCACCAGGTTGTCCAGCATCCTCATGAGGGCCTCAAATTCGTGTTCCCCCAGCCGGCTCTTCTGCATGGGCCCGAAGGTGCTCCCGGCCCACTGCACAGAGCCCACCTCGTGGGGCCGGCGCTTCTCCTGCTCCAGGAGGATGAGGTTCTCCACGCCCCCAGCGCTGGACAGAGCGGACACCTGTGGCAAGAGCAGAGGGCCCCCGACTCGGGTGTGCGTGTGTCACACACACATCTGTGCACTTACCTAAGTTCATGTGTGTGACAGAGTGGGCACAAGGGAGGGTTAGAAGCAGAAATGGGCTGGAAAATTGAGGTGTATTCAGCTCTTCCCTCCTGGAGGAGAAGCGCCCCCCAAATTTGCTGGGCATGCACCCACTCAGGGAAAGAGTGATTAGCAGTTTCTTTTTTAATGTCACTTCTCAGAGACGACAGAGGACAAAGCGAGTGTTCAACCTTAAGAATAAAACAGCACATAGAACTGAAAGTTACCTGGGTCCAGACTGTGACTGTTTCTTGGGAAGGTGGGAGAATGGGATTGAAAAGGGGTTTAAAGTCTTATCTGCAATATTTTATTTTTTAAGAGGAATAGATCTGAAGCAAAAAGGCTGTGAATATTTGTTAAATCTGTGTGGTGGGTAGCAGGTATTTACTATTATATTATTCTCTTCATTTTGCTGTGCATCTGAAATATCTCCTAGTCAAAAACGTCCCTTGAGAGAAACAGGCTGGCCTCTAGGCTGGTGAAATACGAGCGCAGCCGGTGGGCTGGATTCCCCGGTGGGATCCTCAGTCAAGGAAACCCGGAAGGAGGCGGGTGGAATGCGGATGGTGCACAGCCGGGCACTGCGTAGGGGTAGCAGCTTTCACTGAGGGACCGAGAGTGTTTGTCATGCTGTCAAATCTCCATGGGGAGGCGACAATACAGGTGGTCACAGGCAACAGACTGAGCATTAGGGCAAGAGGTGTGTGTGTACAGCAGGCGGTGTTAGAATGATCCTAAAAACATTCAGCAATCTAATTCCCTTATTTTCTAATTCCATGCTCATCTAATAGTACATTCTCTCTACTCCTCATACCTGCCACTAAGATATAATTGGTCATGATTTGGCTTCCTGGGCAAGTTCAGCTACAGAAAGGAGCCAAGCCAGGGTTTGTGCACATCAATGCACAAGCATTCTAATTAGTGTTTGATGGGCCTTGTAAGCCTGCTCATTCCAGGGGAACAGCTCCTATTATATAAGCCTTCAGAGCTTCAGGTTTTGTGACAGTTGTTTTTTACTGAAAACGAAAGGACGTAACACTTTAGCTTGCTGACAGACACAGGTCTGTGATTCCATGAGGATCCTGGACACACCCTGGAGCGTGTTAAATTCACCAGTGGAATGAATGGCCCCTCTGAGACTTCCAGGTCAGCCAGGCCACTTTCCCAAGGTGACCCCATCACCCTGTGAAGAGGAGGAAGCTGGAACTCTCATTGTCTACGCTCTTTTTATCCAAGACATGTGTCCGGTGGAAGGCTCTATTTTTAACTTAAAAAATGACGCCATATGCTGGCAAACAGAGACTTTAGGGATCATTTATTCCACCCTCCCACCAGCAGTAAGAGTCCTTGTCTGATTTCCCCAGAGGGTGATCAGCTCCATGCTTGGTGAGGCATCCGACTGTACCGCTGCCTGAGCGTTTGAGGGTCACAGTGAGCTGACAGAGATCGCAGGGAGTCAAAACCTACTGGTCCCCATTCTGTGCTCTGCTGCCAAGTGTTCCAGACCTGAAGTCCCTCATGCCCAGCACCGAGGCTGAGCGCGTGGAATGCTCCCTCAGAGGCGGTGAATTCCACCTGGCTGATCAATTTACCTAGTTCACCCTGGACCACTGCCTCCCGTCTTGCCTAGGCAGAACTTCAGCCTGTGACCTGAAGCTCTGAGGAGAGGTCCTGGACTGTAGGCAGACCTTTCCCACCAACCATTACTGCCCCAAGAGGCAGTGCAATGCAGTATAGTGTTTAAGAACCCAGACTGGGCGCCAGGCTGCCTGGGTTTGAATCCTGGCTCTGCTACTTACTTACTGCATAACTTTGGGCACCGCTTTACCCTGTCTGTGTCTAGGTTTTCTCATCTGTAAAATGAAAATAGTACTGCCTACTACATGAGGATTATTGAAGGTAATATTTGTAAAGCTCTTAGAATAGCTCCTGGTGCATGTGGAATGCTATATAAATATTTATGACAAATAAATTATAAGGTTTTACTACCTTATAATTTATTTAAGGAAGGTTGAGAAGCAATATCCTTTGGATGCTGGTCACTCATGGAGGAGAAGGGAACTGCCCACATCCTTGCAAGAGCTGCCTCCTTCCACCTCCCTCTTCCTCTATCGGTTTCCATGGCAATGGGTAGCAGATGGAAAACTGCCTGAGCTTCTTCCCATCTGCCTGTAAGCAGAGCAGAGAGCTATCTCTCTCAGCTGGGGGTGACCCAGTTTCCTGGAACCCCAAACTGATGGGGAGCAAAGAAAACACTGTCCCAAGGGAACAAAATAGGCTTTTAGCCTTGAGTTACTAAAATGATCACAGTCACGTTTGCTTGCTTGCCAGAGTCACTGAGGGAGAAAACTAGACCCACGATGGAAAGAGAATTTCAATGTTCACCATTCAACCAGAAATGACCTGGCCAGATGCTGGGCTACCAACGGCATCTGCAAACTACCAATACCTGGGATCTCCCATGCCTTAAACCTCTGGTCTAACCTTGCCGGGTTTCCTTCCACACCTTCCAGCTTCATTTCCCCCTCTAGAAGCCTCCTTGCTCCACCGGCTCAAAGAAGCCCCTAGAGCTTTTCTGGGGGTTATCTGCCTTCATCGCCTGATGCATTAGAACCAGATCACATCAAACCAGTCTTGACTGAAAAGAAAGTGACATCTGGCAGAGTCAAGAGAAGCAGCTGGCTGGCTGTCAGCTCTGCCCTTCCATGGCCATCCTGCCTTGGGTTGAATTGCACACTGCCCATTTCTGAGGGTCTGGAGCCTGGGAGAGACACACTTCACCATGGGGGCTACATGGGGCATCTCTCTCTATTCATTCTTAGGGCTCTGTTGTCTTTGCAAAGAGGCAAGAATTATTTCTCATGGGATCCTCTTCTTCAGAAGAAAGACAGGAAACTCTAAAAGAGCTCAGATGTGGAGTGGAGAAAGAAAAGAAAGAGGTTCTGCCATGTTCTGATGCCAGTCAGGGGGCAGCGCTCAGGGCAGCATCACTGTTTAGGGGGCACGGAGGCCATGATGGCAGAAAGGCACTGCTTTGGTTGTATTTCACTTTCTCCTCTCCTGACCATTGTGGGGTTTAGCACCAAACCCACGCCCAAGGCTGCGGTAGGAGGACAGTTTCATATCACTTTCTCTAACACCTCTTCATTACTGTTTTAACAACTATCCTCTCAACACATTCCTTTAAAGGCCATCTAGAAAGGAACCACTTGTCTCTACAAGTGAAGGAGACTTCACTAGTGATGCTTCTGGAATCTAATCCTCTTCCCTGGTACTCCCAAGGGAAAGGCCTTCTTCCTGGGGTGCTGCTCTGCTCAGACCAGCCAGGAGAGGGCAGACGGGAGCTGACTCATCTGGAGCAGCTGGACCCTCCTCCGTCCACTGAGCTCCAAAAATACCAGCAGCAGCACCTCTCCTTTGCCCAACAGGCTGTCCTCACAAGGACTCTATAGGCCCCACATCTGCAGCTGAGGAAATCGAGCCTCACAGAGGGGAAGTCCCTGACTCAGGGGCACCCAGCCCAGAGCTGGGGAGGATGGAGCCCAGTCAGCTGTGCTGGGTCCCTACTCACCCCTCCCACCTCGCCACCCTGAATGGAGCGTGTCCTTGGCTTATCCAACACCACCGACCTGATAAAGCTACAGGATTTGTGTGCCACTAACTTCCTATTCTTCTTCACCAACTCCTCTAGGGGTCCCATAACCACAGATGCTCCCACCCTCCCTCCACCCCATCGCTCACTGGTTAGGGGAACTTCATGATGGGCTCCCTGTACATCACCTTGGGGTGCCCTGGTGTTTACCTGCCATGTCAGCCCTCCACCTTGCCCGAGCTTCACTTCTCTTTCTGGACTTCACCATGTTCATGGTCTTTGCAAACTAGCTCCCTCAAATGAAGGAAGGAAGGGAGGCAGGGAGAGAGGGAGGGAGGGAGGGGAAAGGAAACCTGCACGTGTGGTGTCCATAGGCCATAGCCAGGTGTAACAGGTATACCCCAGGCAATACGTGAGCATGAGAAGAACTTTTATCTGCCCTATTACAGTTTCTCCTACTGTCCAGCCAATGCACCCAGACAGCTTCCCATTCTGGCACTGACCCCTAGAGCTGGGTGTTGGTTGTTAGACAATAGTGATACATTTTTAAACTACACGACTGCTTCTAAGTATGAAACTTTAGATGAATAGGTGGTGCCAAGACAGAGAAATAGGGCCGGGCTTTTAGATGCTGGGCTTACAGGCCCCCCTGAGTCGCAGCTAATGGGGTGCAGAGGGGGTGGCCTTTGCCTGCAGGCCACTGTCAGAGCGCCCCCCCCCAAGTCCCCAGGGAACTTGCTCACCTACCTGCACCTCACATGCAGCTTGCAGGTGGAAGATCTTATAAAACGCCTCCTCCACAGTGTCACCCAGAGCAACCACGCCATGGTTTCTCAGCACCAGGATCTGTGGGGGAGCAAGTGGCCAATTAAAACTTTAAGCCTTCTGAACTCCAGTTAGAAGGGAGAGGTTTTACACACCCAGCCCAGGATGCCCTCCCCCTCAGAAGGAGCTCCTTGTTCCTTCTCTGTACACAACCCCCCAGTATACCTCACACGTAAAATCATGTGTGATTTTAACAACCTTAGAAATAGAAAAAAAAATTTAATACTTCATACAGACAAAATAGTTTCATGAATTTCTTTGGGCAATGCCTGGGTCTTTAGGCCTTGGAGATCTTAGAAGTCTGAAAAACTAGTATTTGTGTTAAAGTAAATGAAATTACTTGGTGTCCAGTATGAGTATCCAACCTCAAAAGCAACTTCTTGCCCCTGTGAGTTAGTCAACCTGGGGATTAAAACCCAAGGGGGTGGCTCTCTAAGAGGTGACTCTGTAGAAAGGGTGGGGGGGGGGCTGTGTCCCTGATGGCAAGTCACGTGACTTCTCTGGGTATCAACTTTCCTCTGCATACACTCAGTGTGGTCCTGGCAGCTGTAAGGTCCACTAGTTCTGTGAAAGAGGTCACAGTGACTCTCTAATCTAACTCACTGGTTTTACACTAGAGGAAATCAAAACCTTAAGAAATTAAGAGTTTCCCACTATTTAGGGACAGAATGGGAACTAGAACCCAGGTCATCTCCCTGTTGGTGCAATGTTTCTGGCTCAGCCAGGGGACGGCAGATAAAAGGAGGGAAAACCCAGAAAAGAAACTATCCCAAGGGCTTGACTCCCCAAGGTCCAGATGCCAACAACTCCTGGTTGGTTGTGTCCCGAGAACTCTCCGACACTGGCTGGTGCCCGTGTGGGAGCTTGGACGTGGGTTCATCTCCTTTCCCTGCACACCTGGGCTGAGGCCTAATCACCACATCTCAGCCAAAAACAGCTGGTTTTCCCTCTGAAGTGCCAGAGACATGGAAAGAAACAGTGACTCTGTCTCACAGGAGTCTTCACAGAAAACAAATGCCCTGTGTTTCAAATTCTTGTAACAGTTCACAGAGGTGAACATCTCATTCCTTCCTGGGCACTGCTCATGAGGCTTCATTGAAAGTTGGGAGAGAGGGGCGGGGATTCTTCTCCACTCAGAGATGGGCAGACAGGGACTCAGGTTGGGAGACGGCAGAACGCACCTCTCGAGGACGGGGGTCAGGTGTCCACCCAGCCAGGTCTGGCTCCTAAACCTCCTGTGTTAAGCTGGCCTCACCAATTATGCACTGTCATAAAATAAGACTTTAGACTTTAACTAATCGATAATGAGATTCGGTTTTTCTCTGTCAAGTTAGAAAAAAAAGTGATAACACTCAAGTATGGGGAGGCCACAGAGAAACAGCATTCTTATTTACTAGATGTTGTGGGGCGGGGAGAACAATTCGGCCAGGGACATAAGAATTTTAAAATGTGTGTCCATAGCAATTAACCCTAAGGAAATCATCTCAAGCATGTACAGAGATTTAGGTGAAAGGATTTGCATCACAGTGCTGTTTATATCAAGAAAAAATTTGGGAAATAAAGCCCCAATTGTGGCACAGCCATTCATGCAATGAGATAAAATCTAATCATTTAAAATAGTGATGCAGAAAATATTTCATAACATTCAAAGGTATTTACTATATTTTGCTAAGGGGAAAAAGGAGAATATATTTTATAATACTAGTTTCATAAATACATGTGAATATATTTGGGGGTATATGCCAGCATCTCAAGATAGTGTGACAGAGAATTTTATTTCATTGTTTTAATTCACAATTTCTAAACATCAGCACGTGTCACTTGTGATATTAGCTTTTGACAATCCCTCCCCAAAACATCTTCCCAGAACAGCTGAGCCAAACCTTGCAGGTGGGTCCAAGGCACTTCTGCAGGTTGATCCTATCTGCTTCCTGCTCCATTTCGCCATTGAAGTCGTAATAGGCCATGTCCCCCACCAGCAGGGCGTTGTGGGAGACAGGCAGGAGGCCCCACTTCATGGCTGACACCTTCAGTGAGACGGCAGAATGGTTAGCACCTGCAGCTCCCAGTGCCTTTCCTCAGAGCAGCACGGCCAAGTTCTACTCTGGGGCTGAGTGTGGGGACCAAGCACGTGAAACAGGCACTCCCCCTTGACTCTCTTCCACCTGGCTGGGGTCTTGCTTTCGGGCTGCTTCCACCACTGTCCTTCCATCACAGTTTTCACAGCAGCTGTGCCAATATATAGCCCTCTAAAATTGCTGCAAAGAATGCACTGCAGAGAGCTGTTGCTGCTGCCAGCCACCTGCGGTGCTCTTGCCCTAGGACTCTGGGAAGAGGTGGGGGCAGTGGAGTTGGCAGCGGGCTGGGGTAGAGCAGGGCCTGGGGTCCCCCAGGGTGGGCTGGTGGAGGCCTTCAGCCTTGAGGTCAGTGCAGAAATAGCCACGACTCTCACTTGACCAGGGAGGCCTGTTGTGAAACCCCATTTTACCAGCAATGAAGCAATCAATGAGGGTACCTAGTGTAACCTTCGTGGCCCATGCTCTGCCTTTTAGTAAAAGCAAGGAGAGGTTTAGAAGAGCTTCTTGGCCTCCTTCACTCATTTTGCCCTGTGAGTAAGCCCAGGCTCTGCACACTTGGCACAAAGGCATCATCCACTCTTGGTCCAAATTCTGTGAGGTCTCAGTGCTCATAATGCATGTGCTTTGCTGAGGAAACCACAGGCCAGTGACAAGTGTTCTCTGCCCCGTAAGTGTGTGGCCTGGGGGCTGGGTATGATGGGGTAAGGTGGAGAAGACCAGAACTGGTTGTCTGCTGTCTTTCCAATTAACGTTGTAGTTTCTTAGGTGTATGTAGAGAAATTACCAGAGACCATGAGGGGACAACTGCTCCTTGGGGAGGAAGGGTCTTTATTCTACTCTCTCCCAGATTTTCTTGCCCCCATCCCCAGGTCTCAGTCCGCCTGGGCTCTGAGAAGTGGGCAAGTCCAGGTTCCCGACCTCTATCCAGATCTCTCTTCACCAGAACCTGCGCTGGGGGAGGGGATGGCACCAGCCCTTGGCCCAACAGGCCCTCCCCGAGGAGAGGATGCAGGAGGTGGGGGCATCACCCGGGTAAGTGGTGTGGGTCTGTGTATGTGGCTGGGTGGGGGATGCAGTGGGACAGACGTCCCACCTCTTTACCTTCTCTTCCCAAACCAAGGCTTCTGCAGTCAGAGAAGTGGAGATGGTTAGGGTCCCCACATTGGGCATTCCGTCTCCTCACTTTAGCATGAATTCCAGGAAATCTTTCCAGAACGGTTTATATGATGAGATTGTCACTGGCTTGGGGTCTTATATCTTTGCTCAGGGGGAATCTCAGAGAAGCGATAATGTGGGGCTGCTGCTTGGCTCAGTGTGGGGGGACATGCTGGCCGAGTGGCCAACACTCACCGCCGCCGTGGCCGGCGTGTGCAGGTGGATGATGCAGCGCACATCAGGCCTGGCTGCGTAGATGGCCGAGTGCAGAAAGAAGCCTGTGGTGTCCACTGGGAAGCAGCTGCTGCCCTTCTCCACCACCTCTCCCAGGATGTTCACCTTGATCTGGGCCGGGGAAGAAGAGAGACTTATGGCTACTGGACACTAACTCCCATGCTCCGAGGTGGGCCAGCGCACGGCTACCCACCAGCATTCATTCCTTCATCCCACCCAGCGATGTCTGTGCTTGGGGTTGGGGGAGAAAGAGACCCAGACTCAGTGAGTGCTTGGGCTAAGGGGGGACACAGGGCGTTAAATTCAGCACGGAAAATGCTGCAGCAGAGTTTCTCACACTTTAGTGTGGATAAGAACCACCTGGAGATCCCGCCGAATGCAGATGCTGATTCAGTCTGCCAGAGTGGGCCCGAGAGCCTGCGTTTCTAACAAGGTCCCAAGGGACACCCAGGCTGCTGGTCCACAGACCTCACACTGAGTAGCAAGGCCCAGGAGCAGAGCCATTCGTAGAATTCTCTAAAGCAGATGGGAGGAATCTTTAATCCTGGTAAAACAACTGTTTACCAATGACCCAAAAGCTAGGTTTTAAAGGACAAGTAGAAAGTATTCACTGGTTTTATAACATGCTTTTGACTCCAAGGGACTAGTAGGTGTGATGGCTAAAACTCACACACTCATGTGTGAGTGTGTATGTGAATGGGTGAGTGTGCACACGTGCTGACAGCTCTGGCTGGCCTGGCCCACAGTGAGGCTGTGGTGTCCCCTGCGTCACCACAGAGAAGGTCGCATTTGACTGTGACACATCAAGACAAAATATGGCACTTTAACCACCTCTAAGCACAGATAAGAACAGCACTGCGCAAGCACAGAAATGACCAGCACATCACTCCTGGCCCACAGGAGACCCTGGAGCTTCTCTACCGACAGCCGCTCCAGCCCCGCTCCACTCCCCTCACTGACCCCTGCCTCTCCCCCACCTGAAGAATCTGACAGTGTACTGGCCAAGGCAGCACCTCCTTCCAGAACACTCCCCAAATTACCCAACACAACCCAAATCCTGAAATGAGTGCCCTTGTAACATGCCCCCTTGGTCTCCAGGGTGCAATCGACCTGCCGCTGGTAGTTAACCTTATTCATTAACAGGTATTCCCTGGCATTATTAACAAGCTACATTTTAGTTTCTAAGAATCATGACAGCTTTGACCTTTAAGACTGTAGCACCACGACATTCTGAACACAGCACACTGGGCAGTGCCACAGTGCCCACCACCCCTACTCCAGAAGGCCCAGCAGGCAAGATGGCACCAAAGAAAGGGGTGTGCTACTGACATCACTTGTTTAAGGGGAAGCATCAAATCCCCTCTTACAAAGTTCTATTGTAAGTGAATTTTACAGAATGAACATGACTTCAAAGTGGCTGACCCCTGGACGTGGCAGCAACTCTCCCACCTCAGGGGCCTTAAACCTGTGAGTGTCCAGTGCTGACCCCTGCTTTCCCTTCAGCCCAGCGCCCCCTCCCCCTCAGATGTGTGGCCTGCTCAGAGTTTCCTCTCTGGGATGGCCTCTCCCCCATCTCATGCAATCCTCATCTCAGCCTTGGATGTGTGAACTGTTGCCACTTAAGATTCTCTCCAGCCGCTGTCCCATATAGTGCCTTTTTGTCCAAATGAAAACAGTCTCCTCTTGAGGACAGCACAGGGGCATGGGGCTGGGTGTGCAGATGCTTCCATAGAGCAAACTGAAAAACAAGCCCAGCACCAGAACATGCTTAGCACAGGCTGGTTTTCACACACACAGTCCCCACCAGCCAGGCTCTCTTGTGCAGTGAACAAGCACACACACCCTGACCATCTCATGCCCTTGACCCTCAGACCTGTGTCTCTAAGTCATATCTCTTCAGAACCTAGGACAACCAAATGCCACTGACTTCCTTCCTGAACATCCCACCAGTTCCTCAAACTCAGTCCCACACCCCCAACCCAAATGACTGCCAGGCACACTAAGGCTGCCAGCCCAGAATTTCCACCTGGCTGACTGTGGTGGCCCCAACCAGGGGCGTGACATCAGTTGCCTCCGCACAGTTGTCAGAGGCCACTTTCTACCATGGAAACCAGATTGCATCACTTGCCTGCTGACAGTGCTTCAGAGGTTTTGTGTGTCCAACAGAATAAATCTCCATAATAGGCCCACACTGCCCTTTATCGTCCGGTCCCTACTACCTTCCCATCCTCACCTCCAGATACGCTATGGGAGCCAGACTCAGCACCTTACTGGTCTTCCTAAGTGCACCAGGACATGGCATGCATTTGATGCATGCTGCCCTCCTGTTGAGGGCATGGTCACCTCTGCTCAGCCTTTGCCTGCTGCTCTGGTCTAAGTCTGCTTATCCAGTGAGCTCCTGAGGGCTCCACTCCTTCATCACCATTTCAACCTAGAAGCACTTCCTTTGTGCCTCCTACAGCACCCAGTGAGCCCAGTGCTCCTTCCCTAGGCTCCCCAGGCCTCCTTCATCTCCATCATAGCACTCTTCAGTTTGAGTTTAATCACTGAATGCCTCCCCTCACTCCTCCACCCCACCCTACCATGCATGCCTGAAAGACAGAGCCTGTGATGTCTTTGTGTCTGGTGTCCCTGTCTGACTCTTCCAGGACCCCCTTGGGTTGCCCTGGGCAAATCATTTACCCTCACTGGGCACCAGCATCCTCTCCTGCCTGTAAAGTGGCCAGATCTTTAACCTGAGTCCTGGACTCAACATGTGAGTGTGTCTCAAGCCTGGTGGAGGCCCCAAGGTGGCATCTCCTCTCCCAGGTCCAACAGCTGGTACAGAAGCTGATGCCCATGCATCGAAGAAACATGGCCTCTTCTGCTTCTAAGACAGTCCTTTCTACAGCTCTCCTCTTTATACCCAGAAATATTTCTTGATTGAAACCAACTTCTGGAAGTTTCTCCCTACCATACCTAAAGGAGCAAGAGAACTGAAAGGGGTCCCAGAAACTCTCGCTAATGGCACTAGACAAGTCTTGCATTGCTTTGGGACAAAGCATTGGCTGCTGTTTTAATATATCTCCCATCCAGACAGTCCTCCCCACTCCCCGTCTTTGGGGTACAATCCCAGGCTCCGAGGACCAGGCCCATCTCCTCTCCCTCCTACTGAGCACCTCACATTTGGGCTTGTGGTGGCATCATGCTCTGGGCACTCTGTCTGCTTTGGTGCCTGTGTGTCTTCTTGTCCCACCAGAATGTAAGCTTCACAAGGGACAGGACAGCAGTGGATAACCTGGAGGTGTCCTATCACTGTAGGAGCACAGAGGATATTGTCATTTCAACAAGGAATGAGCAGCGAGGTGCCGGATGGTACTCACCAGGCTGGATGCCGTGACCTCACTGCAAGAAACTCCCTTAGGGCTAATCAGGAAGTGGTCTTGCTCCTTGCTGACTCTCAGCTGGGGGAAAAACACACGTTCTCAGTGGTGGGAGAGGGGGTCATTCCAAGGACATTCTGCTTGAATCCCCTCTTCCCCTGGGCCCACTACACCCAAATTTTCCTCTCAAGAACCTTTATCTCCTCCACCCCCACCCCAACCCATGAAAGGTAAAGGGAACTTGGCCTTTCTTGAAACTAGGGAAATGGAGCTATAAGAAGAATCTCTTGCCCTGGCTGGCGTAGCTCAGTGGACTGGGCGCAGGCTGCAAACCAAAGTGTCGCAGGTTCAATTCCCAGCCAGGGTACATGCTTGGGTTACAGGCCATGACCCCCAGCAACCGCACATTGATGTTTCTTTCTCTCTCTCTATCTCCCTCCCTTCCCTCTCTAAAACTAAATAAATAAAATCTTAAAAAAAAGAAGAATAATCTCTTGATGGTCAAGGGCAGGCATAGAAACAGGATCTAGGAGTTCCCAGCTCCCCATCTGGAGAAATATCCACTGGCCAGGTTATTACAGGTGACTGCAGTGGTTAGTAACCTTAGCCAAAAGCCACCAGCAGTGCCATGGCCCTGACAACAGTCAGGAGTTCTCCCTGCAGATTCTGTGGGGTCCCCACCCCACCCCAAGACACTCTTCTCACCGTGACATAGGTGTCGCTCAGCTGGGCCCAGCCGTAGAGGTCCAGGAGTCGGTAGACACTGCTGATCTTGCACCGCATGAGCCGCTCCCCCTTGGCCAGGTTCAAGGAGTCAGCTGTGTGGAGGTCATTGATGGGCGTCATCATGGAGAAGTCTGCAGGGGGACAGGGCAGCGCTCAAGATCAGGGACTCCCATCTGCACCCCTTCCTTGCCCTAGTTGTCTCCACATTCTTACCGGTACTACAACTGCAGGAGAGACTTCCCAGGTAGGAAATTCAACATTCTTTCACCTTCACCCATGGGGAGAAAATTCAAAATTCCTCTGCTTGTTTGGATAAGAATGACATTGTTTTTGCTCAAAAAAATCATGACAAGGCTTAAGACCACAGAATGAAGGGTTCTCAGAAGTCCAAGCTTACCATAAATCCTACAGATAGATGCCAAATGAAAGCAAGAATAAGTTTCTGAGTGCAAATTTGGGTATATTTTATCAGTTAGTTTTCATGAAGAAGTTACTAATCATTAGATCTGCTATTACTGTACTGTTTTAACTATACCATGTGATAGGACTTTTTCTCTGATTTGGAACCCGGGCAAATGGAATGCCAAGTTGGACGGGAAGTAAATTCTTCAACTTTTGCTGACAAGTCATAAACTTCCAGAAGTCAGTGTGGCTGTGGTTGGCTGGAAGGCTCCCGGCCTCAGCAAGCCTCATCTGCTCCCCTCTGGATGTGAGTCTCTTGGTCCATTACAGTTTCTCTTTGGGAATTTTGGGGGCTGTGGGAGGGATTTGGAAATGAACCCAGAGTGTTTGAAAGTCCTGTCCTCGGGGCACCCAAAAGGTCTAGGAGTTGAGGACCAGTCTGCTCCATGAGCCATGATGACTCAGCCTGCAGGTCTGGAGGAGGCAGCAGTGGGCGACTGAGCCCCAGCACTCAGCTTGTCAGCATCTAGGAACCAGCAGGAGAATCAACAGGAAAGTGTTCTGGCTTAAAATGATGTCTGGCTGGGAGCCTCCTGATGCTGCCTCTCCTAGCATCATATTAAAAACTTTAATGGATTAAAACGTTCTTTAGGAACTTCTGCCTTCTCTATAAACCTTGCCACTTTACAATGTGATGTATATCCTGGACCAAGTTGACCATTAGTTGAAATAATGAGATGGTGTGTGAAGATGAGAGTGGAGTGGGTGCTGTTGGCCCAATATAAAGCAAACCAAGCAAGCCTCAGACACACCCATGGCAGCACAGTGCACCCGAAGGGCTGTGCCTACTAGGGTGGCACACCTCCTTGGCGTGGGTCCAGAAAATGTGCTGACAGGGACAGAAGCAGTCCAAAGACCCAGCTCAACTGGCAAGAGGAGCAATTACAGAATAGCAAACTCAACAATTGCTAATCCAAAGGGACGAGTCTGGGATCCCTTCCTCTTCTCCGTGCATCACCCTGACATGAAATATCGCCTATATGCTCCACCCTTGGTGGCAAGAAGGGAAGCATGTCAAAAGCATAAGGCCCCCAGACAAAGCCAGGCAAGGGGAGGCAGGCGCCATTTTTGGGAGGGTCCTCAGATCCAGAGTTTTTTTAATCCTTCTCAGTGGAGTCCCAGTGATGCCCAGGAGGTCAGAATAGGTCTAAAAACACCCCATCACATCCTCGCATCCTGTATCAGAGCCTCCTCTCCCACCACTGCTCTGTGAGGATTACTCCGCCACAGGCCTGAGGGCCAGAGAAGGGAACTGAGGGCTCCAGAGGAGTCTCTGTCCTCTGCTTTCAGGGTCTTAACAAAAAGAATGCTTATTCCAACCAGCCCCAAAAGTCAGGATGGCTAAGCACCAGGTTAATGACTCAGATCTAAGTGAACCATTTATTCAAATACTTAAGAAAACACAGAAAAAGATAAAAACCCACCAAACCCTCTGAAAGTTAAGGCTAAAGGACATACTATTGAAAAAAATTCCAAAGCTAATGGAGATAGACAAAGAACAACCTCTCTGGGCTTGAATTCATGATATTTTGACTTTCCCTCTGTACATTCCCTGAGTCAGACACCCTGGATGCGCACTAATCAGATTTCCAGTCATCCAACTGTCTTCCTGACAAATGCTGGTCGGTGAGGCAACAGGAATGCTGGCCAGCCCCATTTCTCTCACAAATGGAAGAGTATAAAGATAGAGATGTGAAATCAATAAAAGAGAATATGATAGATATGGGAGACAAATACCAGAGAGCCAGCATACAGATAATCAATATTGATCTAATAGAAAAAAACTTCTGGACTAAAAAAAGATCTATGTATATAAATTATAAAGATTTACTGCATTCTGCAGAGTGTGGAGGCAGGGAGTCCATGAAAAGAAGAAGCTTACAATTATATACTCCCTGGCAATGTTTCTGAAATACAAGGATAAGGGGGGAAAATTCACAAACATTTATAAAATAATTTTGATCACCTACAAAAGAACAAGAAATGGTTTCAGATTCCTCTACTACAGCAACAGATGCTAGAAGACAATGCTATAGGAGGCTTACAGAAAACAAACACTAAAATAAAATGACATAAAATTAGTTAAAATCAAAGAATCATCAAAAGTGTGCCAGGCAAATACAAACAAAAAGTAAACAGAGGTCACAATATCATTCTCAAAGCAGAATTTGGGGAAACAATATTCCTTTGGACAGAGAACCATTTTGTAGGTCATTTTACAGGGACGCAGTAGAGTCCAACCTGCAGCCCAGGTGGCTGTGAATGTGGCCCAACACAAAACTGTAAACTTACTTAAAATATTATGAGATTTTTTGTGATTATGTGTTGCAATGTATTTAATGTGTGGCCCAAGACAACTCTTCTTTTTCCAGTGTGGCCCAGAGATGCCAAAATGTTGAACACCCCTGGAAAGGTTTAATCTTAAATGAAGCTACAGCTATAAAAAATGCTTAGGCTTTCGATAACATTTCACCAAGATATCCAAAGCAAAAGCTATCAGAAAAACAAATACAAATCAACAAAATTCAAATACAGTGGAAGACTTAACACAACTTTCACTTATTAAGAAGTCAAAAACAATAAATGAAGATGTAGATTTAAAACTATGCCTTAGAGATGGAGTCTGTGTCCATATATCATTTTTGAATGATATTATTAGGCTACAGAGAAAATATCAATAAGTCTCCAACACAGACATTGAATAGGCCACATTTTCTAAAGAGAAGGCAATAAAATTAGACATTGTTAACAAATCTTTAAAAGAATGCAAATTTAGCCACTTGAAAATGAGAAAATTTGCTCCTAAACAGGTCTTATAATAGAAATAAAACTAAAATAGCAATTGCCCACTTAGAAACTAGCAAGAAAGGAAATACAATGTGTCAAGATTCATGGAATAAGACCAAATATACTTAGAGAAAAAATGTATAGTCATAAACATCTTTGTTACTGAATTAAATATGAAAAGAAATCATCCATTTTATTCTTCTCTAGAAAAAATATGAACAAAATAAACAAAAAATGCTATGAAGAAGAATTAATTAGTATAAAAACAAAATCAATCAATTGGGAACAAGAATGTTAGTAGAGCCAATATGAAATCCAGAATTGCCTTTCTGAGAAGATCCCACATAAACCTGCGTCCAGATTGGCCCATAAAGAGACGGTGGTTGCGGAGTCCCAGGCTCCAGACTGGGAGGGAGGCCATCTTACTTACAGCAGCAAGTTTAAATGATAAAAACATTGTAATGTTATAAATCACTCAATAATTTTGAAAAGCTCCACAAAATGGATCATTTTATACAAAATATATAACCAGAAAAATATGGAACCAGCAAAATAGGGTGTTTAAAAATCCTAGATGACACTGAGAAAAAAATGTTTAACAAAAATATTCCAGATCTAGGACTTCTGGCCAAGATGGAGGTGTAGGCAGTCATACAACCAAGATAGGGACAACAACAATTTAGAAACAGAATAACAACTAGAATGGATAGAAAATTGAACTGTATGGAAGATGGACAACCAAGAAGTTAAAATAGACACATTCATCCAGACCAGTAGGAGGGGCAGAGAGGGGTCTTGGCATGAAGAGTGGTGGGACTGGGTGAGTAAGGCATCCCAGGCATGCAAGACCCCAGCGGGTGGACCCTGGGTGTGCAGGCAGTGGCTGGCAGACCCTTGGCTAAGGGTGGCAACTGGCAGACCCAGCCAGGCAGTGATTGTGAAGCGATACATTGTGCTAAACCCAGGGTCCCAGCGCCAGGAAATAGAGCCTCGGGGCACTGATTGAAAACACCTGTGGGAGTTGAGGCGCAGGGAGAGACTCCCAGTCTCACAGGAGAGTTCGTGGAAGAGACCCACAGGGTCCTAGAATGTGCACAAGCCCACCCACATGGGAAATAGCACCAGAAAGGCCCAGTTTGCTTGGGGGAAGCGGAGGAAGGGACTGAAGTTCCAAGGAGAGTGGAGTGAGCGTCAATGTTCCCTCTTGGACCCCGCCCCCACATACAGTGTCACAACCCAGTAACTGAGTTGCCCTGCCCTGGTGAACACCTAAGGCTCCACCCCTCATAGGTAACAGGAAGGACAAGACCAAAAAAAAAAAAGTCCAAACGAAAGAACAGATCAAAGCTCCACAGCAAATAAAACTAAGTGACTAAGAGATAGCCAACCTATCATATGCACAGTTCAAAGCACTGGTGATCAGGATGCTCACAGAATTGGTTGAATTTGGTTGCAAACTAGATGAAAAAGTGAAGGCTACACTAAGTGAAATGAAGGAAAATGCTCAGGGAACCAATAGTAATGGGAAGAAAACTGGGACTCAAATCAATGGAGTGGACCAGAAGGAAGAAAGAAACAACCAAACAGGAAATAATGAAGAAATAAGAATTCAAAAAAACAAGGAGAAGCTTAGGAACCTCCAGGACATCTTCAAACGTTCCAACATCCAAATTATAGAGGTACCAGAAGGGGAAGAGGAAAAGCAACAGATTGAACATGTATTTAAACAAATAATAAAGGAGAACTTCCCCATTCTGGCAAAGGAAATAGATTTTTAGGAAGTCCAGGAAGCTCAGAGAATCCCAAAGAAGTTGGACCCAAGAAGGAACACACCAAGGCACATCATAATTACATTAGTCAAGATAAAAATGAAGGAGAGAATCCTAGAAGCAGCAAGAGATAAGGGGACAGTAACCTACAAAGGAGTTCCCATCAGACTGTCAGCTGATTTCTCAAAAGAGACCTTGCAGGCAAGAAGGGGCTGGAAAGAAGTATTCCAAGTCATGAAAGGCAAGGACCTACATCCAAGATTGCTCTATTCAGCAAAGCTTTCACTTAGAATGGAAGGGCAGATCAAGTGCTTCTGAGATAAGGTCAAGTTAAAGGAGTTCATCATCACCAAGCCCTTATTTTATGAAGTTAAAGGAACTTATCCAAGAAAAAGAAGATAAACATGCATAGTAAAATGATAGCAAACTCACAATTATTAACAACCACACCTAAAACAAAAACAAAAGCAAATTAAGCAAAAAAGAGAACAGGAACAGAACCACAGAAATGGAGATCACATGGAGGGTTAGCAACAGGGGAGTGGGAGGAGGAGAGAGGGGGAAAAGGTACAGAGAATAAGTAGCATAGATGGTAGGTATAAAATAGACAGGGGGAGGGCAAGAATAGTATGGGAAATGTAGAAGCTAAAGAACTTATGACACATGGACATAAACTAAAAGGGGGGAATGTGGGTGGGAGAAGGTGTGCAGGATGGAGGGGAATGAAGGGGGGGAATGGGACAACTGTAATAGCATAATCAATAAAATACATTTTTTAAAATATCCAGATCTAGGTGGCTTTCCAAGTGAATAATAAATGTTTAGAAACAGAGACTTCCTATCTTATTTAAATTCCATTAGGGCACAGAAGATTATTTTTAAAAGAATGCCTCAAGACCAGGGGATGATTTATTTCAGGAATGAAAAAAGAGTTTGGTATTCAGAAATCTATTAATATAATTCATCTCATCAATAGTCCAAGGAAAGAAAATGTAACAAATACCTGAAATGCATTTTATACAATTCAACATCCATTGCTAAGAAAAACTCCTATCAAACTAAAGTAAAAAGCTACTTCCTCAACAGGATAAAAAACAACTAACCTGAGCTCTTATGCTGAAAGAATTTCCATTAAACTCAGAAACAAGGTCAGGACGATTACTCTCTAACCTATTATTAAAGATTGTTCCAAGAGTTCTAATGGATGCAATGAAAAAACTGGAAAGTTAAACCAAAGAGTAGACATTGGAATGAGGGATGCAAAATAACCATTATTTGCAAATTATGTGATTTTTCCACATACTAGAATCAAAAGAATTAAATGAGAAGATATTAGAATTTAAGAGTTTAGTAAGGGGCTAGTTTAAACATATATATCCAATGATTTCCCCAATTATAGCAAAAACCAGAAAGAAAGTTAAATGGAGAAAGAGTCATTTAAAATAACAAAGTTACATAAAATTTTCAGGATAAACTTAACAAGAAATTAGTAGGAATTATATGAAAATAACTCCTAAATTTTTCTGATGGACATTAAAGAAAAAATTAAATAAAGAGGAGACATACATCATTTCTGAAAAGATTTAATATTCATTCATGCAAATATTTTTTAAGCACCTACTATGTCCCAGACACTTATCTAAGTCCAGAACACTATTCTAGGGTGTAGCAGGGAACAAAACATACAAATATACGTTTTCCCCCGCAGAGCTTATGTTTTAATATAAAACTGTAAATTTAAAACTTCTCCACCAATTTCATCTATCCATTTAATTTTATCCCAATCAAAATTCCAAGATGAATTTTTTGAGGTGAAGTAGAAACTTGACAAAATACTTCTAAAGTTATTTTAAAGAAACAACTTGTACAAATAGTTGAAAAATTTGCAAATGAATAATTAAGAGTATTTTATCAGATAATAAACCACGGGGAAGTTGTTTCTACACAGGCAATCAAAAGCAGAAAGCAAAAGAAAATAATAGTGATTCAACTACATGGAAATGAAAGCATTCAACCAGACAAAAACATCATCAACAAAATTAAAAGACAAGCAAGACACTGAAAAAAAATGCAATCTACTTGACAAATAATAGAGAAATAGTCTTACTTTGTAAAGATTTGAAAATCTACAAGAAAAAAATACACAAGTGGGAAAATTGGCAAAGGATGTGAGAGGCAATTTACTACAAAAAGAAAACCATGTCCAATCTGTATATGAAAATATATCCAACCTCATTAGTAACTGCACATTAAAACACAAAGTACTTTTCACCACCTATCGAATCACAAGAATGAAACGAATGGTAATACATAATATGGGTCAGGCTGGAGTGAGTGGGCACTCCACTGCACTGCTGCTGGGAATGTGAGCTGGTCCTACCTTCCTCCAAATTTGGCATTTGGCATTAAACTCTATAAAGCACATATATACTTCGATCTAGCAATTCTACTTCTAGTAATTTATCTTAAGAAATGGTCATTGATGTAATCAGGTTTATTTACAAGGTTGTTTTTTGCATTGTTGGTCATAATAGCAAGAAGTTGGAAACAACCTAAATGTCAAGAAAATCAGAAATTGATTAAACTACAGCATATTTAGCCATAACATACATCCACTCGAAATTATATTATAGAACCATAATTTATGTGAAAATTATTCAAGATGTGTTAAGATATTAAATGTGTATTAATAATGCACATTTGTGCAGAATAATGTGATTCCATCTTTGTTTACATAATCTATATATGTTAACAGGAAAAAGCTGAAAGGATATATATCAAAATATTGATAATAGTAGTTTCTTGGTTGTAAGAACACAGTACAGCAATTTTCCCTTCTTGAATATTTTCTTAACTTTCCACCATAATCCTGTATTCATCTTGTTGAGGGGAAGTATTTCTGATGTTTGTTTCTTAAAGGTTGGAGGCATTGTTGCAAAGCCCAGGAAGGTGGGTTCATGCCCAGCCTGGCTGCTGTCGGCCCTGGTCCACAGAGCCAGGTGGGCCTTTCCCTTGGGGCCTGGAGACACTGGCTCAGCGCATCCTCCCATCCCTTCACTCCCTCTCCAAGGGAGTGGCTCCAGGGGGCTAGGGAAGACCAACCTGAGTGAGGGATGTGGCTAGTACAGAAAGATTTCTCTTCAGCTTTGTACCCATAGCTAAAGTTATTGGGGAGCAGAATCCTCACTCCCCATTCTCCACTGGTGGGCCTTCAAGCAAAGGCCATTTTATGAACCTTGAGCTGCAAAGCTCTTCCCTTCACGCTAATCCACTGAGGAGGTGCGGTGGAGGGAGGTTCCCTTACAAGCTGCTCTGTCTCTCAGAACAGTGACATTGTGTTATCCTGCCCCTCCCCCAGCATAACCAGAACCGCTTCTCCTTTGAGTCACCACGACCCCTGCCCCTCCATTTCTGGGCATCACAAATCATTCTCCTGTGGGTCTTTAAATCGCAGCACCATTGAAATAGAGCCAGGTACCTCTCTGGTGGCTGCTCAGCTCCCTCAGGTCTACTAATGCAACTGCAGCACTCACCCCGTAGCCAGGCAACCAAGCTGCTTCTTGCTGCTCCTTCTTGTCTTCCCCACCCCACTTCCCCCACCGTCTGCTCCTGGCAGCTCCCCAGCTCCCCACGTACTCATGGAAGACGTTGGGAAGACTGCGTGGGAAGTGCTGGCCATGAAGTCCGCGATCTGCCGCAGAGCCCAGATGTTGGAGGAATTGTTCCCCTTCTTCATCTGCTCCTGGATGAGGCCTTCCAGCTCCTCCCTGAAAGACTAAATGGAGGCACAGAGCCGCTAGTCCCCTCAGTGCATCTCAGGCAGGAGACCCAGGGCCCCTCTTGCAAGTGCCCAGCTCGCTCCAGGGCGGCTAGGCCAGAGCTACACTTGGGATCCCTGGGCCCCAGAGGATGCTGGGCATTTCCACTGGGATTTTAGGAGCCTCCCCAAACTGCTACTGGGAAAACAACAACGAGTTGCTGGGAATGGATGCTGCTTCCTTTGCCCTGTGGGCAGTACTCTGGATTCCAGTCTTTCCTGTGCCAAAGTGATGGTCAATACCCCTCCCCATCAGACACAAAAGCTTCACTTTAGTAATTGAGACATTTTAAAAAGCAGAACCGAATGAAAAGGTGTGCCATCTCCCTGGTCCATTAGGCATGTCTATGGCTTTTCTGAGCCTCAGTTTCCTCAGTTTCAAAGGATCTGATGTCCCTCTGAGGTCCCACTACTCCAAGCCTGGCTTTTCAGACCACCAGTCTATGAATCAAGCATGCCTGTCCACCAGGTGGCAGTAGAGAAAACTCAGGAGGAAACGGCAAGCTGCTTAGGTGTTGGTGAATCTATAAAAGAGAGAAGCAGCCTGAGCTGTCCTCCCATCCCCATCACCTGCCTGAGAACAGAGTCCCATCTTTTCAGGCCTGATACTTGGGTTGGTACTAACTCTGCCACCCCTCCTCCCACACCTGCCACCCCTCCTACTCACACTCTGGGATTTTTTCCATCACCCCAAATGCTTTTAGCAGCTTCAGATTCCCCAACACAGTGAGTGTCCCCTGTCACCAAGACCTCAGGCCTGTTCTACAGAGCTCCTCTGTAAGGGCTGAGCATTCACTGTGTGCTCTCAGCTAGGGTCACACACGGCCCATGTAATGCCCTGGCTCCCCCAAAGCACAGTGAGGGCTGAGGCAGAGTTATCCTGGCAAGCACCGGGAAATACCAGCTCCATCCCTGAGCTTCCCAGCCCTTAGGATCATGCCATTTCCCGAGGACCCCTCAGCTCTATTGCCCTCAGACTCCATTGCTCTTCCTCCTCCCTGCCAGAGAGCATGCAGCACCCTCCTACTTCATGGTCCAGTGGGCCCACATTCTCACCTTGCCTTGCCTCAAGGATGAGCTCTGTGTCCATGCCAGGCAGGCACCTCGTCTGAAGCCTTGGTGGGGTGATCCTGAGTGGCTCTCCCTTCCAGAGCTCCTGTCCATAACTCATTAAACCCTCCACTCCTCCCACCCCCTGGGGCTTCCAGGCCCTCTTCACCCCTGCATATCAGCCTTATTTCCACCGTGAGTTTCCTGGTGTTCCAGAAGGGGAGTCCTAAACCTTCCATGTGGTGCCCTCTGCTGACCCCTGGTTTACACAAATTTGTTCTTTGTTAGCTTTTGGTGAGGAGGGAAGAAGACACGAACTAAGGCTCAGGAGGGGCACTGGTAACTGAGGTGAGGCTCTCACCTGGCAGACCACCTCCACCCAGCACTGAGCCAAACCACCTGCACATAAACCAGGTTTTGCCATCCACCAGAGACTAGAGAGAAAATCAAACACCTCAGCGGTCTTAAAACAGCTAGGACTCTGACCAAGTGAGAGAGTGCTCTTTCAGGTTCCCGCAGGTGGATCAACGCAGTCCCCACCCACCCCCACCCACCCTGCCTGGGTCAGACCCCACTCACCGGGCTCTGCAGGATCATGGTGACGCGTTTCTTCTGCTCCATCAGATTGAAGTCTTGCCGCAGGTCTGCCGCACGGTTGCGAAGGCGCATGTACTCAGGGTCGTCCTCAGAGAAGCGGTCCAAGTACTGCTGCCCCTGCTCGGGCGGCTGGGCTGCGGCCTCGGCCTCGGGGACAGTCTCCTCACTCATTGTCCTGGTAGGTTTACAATCCACTCCTGGAACCCTGCGGAGGGGGCAAGAGGGGGCGGACTGGTTGGAGCGCCTAGGCAGGACACACAGGGAAGGGGTTGATTTCTGTAGGATCCACAGAGGGATGAGGCTATTTCCAGGAGGCTGTAAGCCGAGCCGAGCCGTGGGTTCGAGGGCAGGACGCCGACAGCTGCAGATCCATAGAAGACGCTAATGCATCATCGGATGAGTGAAAATAGGGCACCCGCTCAGGCGACCGCCACCCCTCCCTGGCTGTCCCGCCAGGCTCCACTGGCCACCCTCCGGTTCCCCCAGTGCCAGTACAACCTGCAGACTTTTGGGGGATTTCGAGATGCGTATCTTACACAGAGTAAAGCTACGTACTGGGTATCAGTGCTTCATCTAAAACTCTTAGCCTCTAAGAAGCCTTCTAAAAAAATTGGTGGTAAATTCACAGAACTGAAAGGGAGCGAGAACACTAAAAGGCGGGAAGGCTTTGCGCAATGCTTTTCAGCGCGACGTTGACGGGCTCTGGCCTCTGTGCAGGAATGATCAGTGAGTCAGCTTCTATAAAACGTATCTCAATGCAGAATCAGGTTCTTATTCCATGTGTAAAAGAGGTCTGCAACTTTCTTTAATGAAAAATTAAGTTTTTCTAAAATCAAGTTAAATCAATACTGAGAATTAGCACAAGAATAAACCCTGTTGGAAGGGCACTGGGTTGCCGGCTTGCCTAGAGTCCCATATATCTGGGCCTGGTCCCTGGACTGAGGACCAGGGCAGCCTCTGGGGAGTTGGGTAGGGGGGAAACACACATTTTTTTCTACTCAAGCACGCATTTTCATATGCCTGAATGACGGATGAACGAATGTTTTCTACTGCCATATGGGAGCCCATTAGAAGAAGCAGGATGCAGTTCCAATCTCCACTTCCCAGCTTTGGGGCTTTGGCCACACACCAGTCCCCCTTTGTCAGCACAGCTAGGCCCTCGAATCTGGGTTACAGCCCTTCCACACCCAGGGGCAGCTACAGAGCTTTAGCCTTCTCCTTGTTGTCTGATCCCCTTCTCAGCAAAGCAAGGCAAGTGTCTTGATTGAACAATAGGGAGATACTAACCAAAGAGCATTGGGATTAGGACACCTGGCTTTCATCCTCAACCTGCCCCTCCCTCAGTTTACCTCCAAGGGCTACCGTTCTGCAAGGAGGTGGAGTACTCTCTTGTTCTCTCAGAGCACTCCTGGCTCCCGGGTTCTGATCTGCTCTGCCCCCTTGACTGATCATGTTAACCCAAGCCTCAGCCCTCATTCCAGCCAGCAGCTCATTACTGACGGCTAGCAATCCCTGAGCCATCAGGACTCTGACCCCCACCTTACAGTTCCTCTGGGCGGGGTGGGCATGGATGGTGCGCTAGGTAAGAGGACAAGTGGGGGTCTTCCCCATCAGCCCAGAACTCTTGATCACTTTCTTCCTTTCCCCTCTCTCTCTCCCTTCCTTGCATTTTTACGTTTTGGGGAAGGGCATATAGCAAGTTCAAGAGAAGGCACATGAAAAAGGTCCCTTAAGAATCAGCTGATGGCCTGAACCTTTGGCCTAGAGCAGTGGTTCCTAACATTGTGGTCACCTGGAGAACTTTAAAAAATACTTATATCAAAGATTTAAATGTTATTAGTCTGGAGTGTGACCTGGACATCAAGCTCCCTGGCTGATTCTAATGGGCAGCCAGGGTTGAAATACTGCTGGCTAGATGTTAATGGTTGGAACGTGTAATGAAAGGTGTCCATTCCAGGTGTTGGCCATTTCCAGCAAGCCTGCCAAAGACGGTACAAAGCCTCTTGTTCTCTTGTTTCTAACACTAGTGGCAGGTGCCACTTCCTCCTCCTCCCACTCCAACCTCCACCTGCCACCATACACTTGACTTGGGGCAGCAAGGGTGCTCCAAATGCCATTAAAACCCACTTTTGCAAGTTTACCAATCCATGACCTCTGATCTTAATTCTCTCACTAATTAGTCATCTCCTTCTGAAAGCTCTCACCAGATCTCCCCCAACCAGCACCACCCTAACCCGTCAGGTCTGTGGGAAGGAGGATGGAAGAGGGAGGAGGGAGACTAGGAGTGGCAGCCAGAAACAAACATTCTCTAAAGAAATATTTTGAGATATTTGTCAGGTTGCTAGAATGGTTGCAGTTGTACTTCCTAATATTTCAAGATTCTTCAACCAAGTGAAGAAAGAGTGACTGAGTTCACTAAGGATGTTTCTGGTGGAAGTAGCTCAGGGCTAGAAGTCAGAGTCCACAGTTTTGCCCCAGTTCTGTCGTTCTCTAGCTGCAAGGACTTGGACAAGTAATTTCCCTCTTTGGGTCTCACTTTGTCCATCCCTAAATGAGGAAGTGAACAGAATGACCTCAGGGCCCTTTCTAACTCTGACACTACAAGAGAGAGAGAGATCAATTGGTGTAGAAAAGACAGAAGCATGGAAGATGCAGGTTTCCTGGAGCAACAGACCTTCTTCCTGCACACCCCCCACCCCGACCTGCCATGCCTCTCCCTTAAGCCAAATGGTGAAAGAGAAACATTTGCAAAGAACACAAATGACCTACTGACAGTTGCCTTGTGGGTTCAAGTCAATTCCACGCGATGGGGTGAGTTAAGAATCGTTCACCTCCACCATGCTCCCACCCAGCCTCATCCCTGGCACTTGGGAAGTCAGAAGAGACTGCAAGGTCAAACATAATGGGAATGCAGACAGTTACCACCTGATTCTTCCAGGCAGACAGCACTGCAGGCCAGAATTCTTCCCGAGGCGTGGCCCACAGCACCCTGCCCCTTTTAATTCTCCTTGGCACTTTCACAGACTCAAATCCCTTTTAAAGTAGCAAAAAGTAACCCCCCCACCCCCCTCCCCACACACACACAATGGGTGCATTGGATATGAGCCTGAGGTCCCTGCGTTCCTTTTGACTCCAGGTCCCACCAGCTCCAGAACCACCTGAACTCTCAGCTTCTCTGGGCCTAGAGTTTTGACCAGCACAGCCTGGTACAGAGCCTTCCTGGCCCAAATCCTTTCCACCTGGACTGGAAAAGGCTGATTCTCTTAGCTTCCCTTTGGAGTGGCTGCATTTCCCGGGAATAGGCCTGAGAAGGCTCTGAATTATCTCTCCACACTCTGAAGCACCAGGAACAAAGTCCTGGGCCTGATGGACAGGGGCACACACCACTGTGCCTCCTGGCCTGGCTTTACGTCCTAGAGCTCAGCCCCAGAGGGCTGCCCAGAGGTGCTCCCATGGGTCTGGGGTAGGAAACAGAAGCACTGACTCCCACCTTGGCAACAGGGGCCTGCTTAAGCCCTTTGACTTTGTGAACCAGGGGTATCCCTTTACGCTCCTTCCTTCTGTTCCCCAGATGTGTCTTAGGTGATTGAAGTTGTGTGCACAGTGGCTTAGTGGTTAAAAGCATAGACTCTGGAGCAAGACAGTGAGTTCAAATTTCAATTATGTCAGCTGTTAGCTGTGTGATCTTGGGCAAGTCACCTCACTTGTTTGTGCTTCAGTCTCTCCATATATGTGGGGATTGCAACTATTTAGCTACCTCTTCATGTTGTTGTGAGGATCAGATTAGTTAGTGTATATGAAGTGCATACTTGAAATAGTGCCTGGTGCATAGCAAGTGCTGTCAAGCATTTGCTCTTATTATGTGTCATTGAGAGGCTAGAATCATCATAGAACTAAGAACTTGAGTAATGAGAGGCCTATGATTCGATTGTAAACAGGTGCTCACTAAATAACTGTAATTACATGTTTTAGTTAAAAAATAATTCAATCTTGAGCTATAGGAACCAAAAGAGCACATGCAGAAAAGACTGCTGAGGATGCCTCATCTCTGACCAGACAGACAGTGGGACCATGTCCACCTGGGGACCGCAGGAGGGAGAGTGAGCAGGATGCTGAAGAGCAGGAGGCCAGTGTTCATTGCACAGGTGTGACATCATAGAGAATACGTGTGGTCTTTGTCCCCAGTTTCTGGCACAGAGCTTCAAAAACCCTTGGAGTTTGTAAAATGCCCCAAAGATACTGTGAGCACCTTCAGTTATTCACAATGAGCCCCTTCCATGAAACCTGAATTCATGCTCGTGAGGTGACTTTGCTGGGTCCTTAGATAGTTTCAAGTGAAGGACTGGCCACCAAGAAAACCCAAGCATTTGATTAGAGGGTTGCAACCTCAGCCCCACCCCCACCACAGAGGAAGGGAGGGGTAGGAGCTAGAGATTCAGTTCAACCAAGTGGCAATTATGCCTAGTAATAAAGTCCCTCTCCCCAGTGGTGATGCATACCTCCCCACGGCCCTGCATTAAGACTATCTGGACACAGAGGCTTCCCGGTTGGTGAGCACACAGCTGGGCTGAGCTGGTGATGTGCACGATTCCACAAGGAGAGGGCATGAAGCTCTGTGCCACTCCCCTAAGCCCCAGACCCTGCCCTGTGCATTGCTTCTGTTTGGCTGTTGCTGACTTGGATCCTTCATAATAAAAGTGTAATCACAATTATGGTGCCTTTGGTGAATTCTGTGATTTCTCTATTGAATTACAGAAACAGAAGGATGGAAATCTACATCCCAGCCAGTCAGAAGTGTGGGTGGCCTGGGGACCCCACTGTAGCTGGCCTCTGAAGCAGGGCCATCATGTGGGCAGCTATGCCCTTCAACTTGTGGTAGTTAACTTGTGTGCCCTTTGGCTCTGGGTGGTGCCAGAACTGAGTCGAATCGTCGGACTCCCTGTGGGTGTCAGAGAATTGGTGATGAAACAGCACCAGGCAACTTCTATCCATGATTTGTTTTTGTTCCCGGGACTGCTCTGTGAGGCAGACATTACTGTCCCAGTTTTACAGATGGAGAAACTGAATCGGAGAGGTTAACTAACTTGCCCAGGATCATGGGGATAACCCTGTGGAGCCCAGATTTCAACCAAGGCTCTCTCTGGCTCCAGGTCCCACACTCCTCCACTCCAAGTGCCCCCAAACATCTGTTGGGCTGTCCTGTGGAAGAAGGATCAGGCTGACTGCTTAGAGCCCCAAGAGCCAGAACCAGAAAAACCAGTGGTTGCTGCAAGAGACAGATTCTAGCTGAGGACGTGAGGGAGAACTTGCCACCAGTAGGCACTGCTCGGTAGTGGGAAGGTTGGACAGGACAGCAGCCTTCTTGGTGGTGAGCTCTCCCCTGGGCATCAGAGTGACGACGGAAGCTGTAGAGGGGTGGACTCTAAGGTCCAGCAGATCCCGTGGTAGCTGTTGAGTGAGCAGGATTGGGGGAGTTCGTACAACAACCTAAATGTCTGGAGGCTCGTGCTGGTGAGAAGGACCCAACTGAAAATCATGCCCACCCTCATCACCACCAAATGCTACCGACTAATTACCGGGAGGCGGGACCAGCCTCGTCCCAGGCCGCCTCTTCTCAGTGTTCAGCCTGTGTGCCTGGCTCTGCTCCCAGGGACGCCGTCCACGCCTACAGGATCTCAAACATCTGGGTGGAAACTGGAAAACACAAAGGCGACAAAAATCAGGGCACCACCCCTGATCCACCGTGACCCTTGAACCCAGGTTTCGCAGCACCATTAGGTGGGGATTTAGTTTAAGGGCTGCTGGGAAGTTCCTTAAAATGAACTTGAAATGGATTTTTATTTTAAAAGCAAATTATGCCTATAAAAAGATTTTTTAAAAGCTTCATTATCTTTATAATTAGGATCAAAATTCATTTCAAAGAGAAGAAACACAAAATCCCTTTGCTGAGCATTGGCCCAGAGGAGGGGGTGCTCTGCGGGGCGGAGGGAGTGGAAGGTGGGCCCAGAGGGGCCCAGAGCTGCTGGACCGGAGGGATCTGACACCTTCCTCACACCAGCCCCCAAGTGCTCCACTAGCAGCCACTAAACTTGCAAATGCTGTGTGAGTGACTTTTGGATGCTGCCCAAGAGACAGACAAGGCTGAAGAATATCACACCCCAGGCAAGTGGGAGGGTTTTAGTGTTGCCCAGGCCAGGAATTGGTGATTCAAGACAATTTCACCTAGAGTGCAAACGAAAGACCACCAGTTAATACCTGGTAACAGGTTATGAGGTATTACTGAAGGAGGAATGAAAAGTTGTTAATATCTTACAAACAAGGGTGACTCACTACTCCAAAATTCCTGGGGTTCAAGGTCTTCAAAGGGTTAATCATCGAAAAACAATGTAAGACAGTGATAAGCTCTCCATTTTCACTTGGAACACTATTGTTCAGACCGGAGATGCTTGTCTCATCCAGGCCCGGCAGCAATCCTGCCCCCACTCCCACCCCCACCGTGACTCTGGGGCCAGGCCCTGCCTTTCCTGCCTCACCAGCCAGATCAGCTCCATCCCTGACCTGGGGCTGCCCAGAGCAGCGCACCTGGAATAACTTGTCTCACCAAAGAGGGACAAGGAGAATTCATCATGGCGGCATGGTGTGTCTGAGGGAGTCTGGGACACCAGGGCACCCAGGGCACCCAGGGCACCCAGGGCTCAGCATTTGAGTGCCTAGGTGGCCCCAGAGCCCAGGCCTGAGGTTCATGCCTCTAGTTAGGGTCTCTAGATAGAGACCTACAAAAGTTGTTCTCTATGCGCTTCATGTCAGTGGCCAGTTGCGACCCTCCTTTCACTGGTCTTATTTTTAGTTAGAACAGGGTCACAGCCACCACTTCATGCTGCTTCTGTCCAATGCCCACCAACACGGGAGCCCCCCTTCCAGGGCAGGCTGGCTCCATGGTGGGCTTTGCTGACATACCTCCAAATGCTGTTCTTTGGGTGGGTGGCCACTGACCCTCCCTCAGGACCAATCCTGCAGCCAGGTAAGCTGTCTTACCTGAAGCATCAGCTTCCTCCCTTTCTCGAGTGTGTCCTGCCACAGAAGTGTGAGGTTGTTCCTTCACCTGTTAACGTTTGAATTTTCCGAGTTTGAGCTATTTCTTATGTCCACTGACAGAATTAACCCTCTGCCCCCAGAAGTGACTTGTACCATTCATGTAAGAAGACAGACATCTGGTCCTCAGATAAGTAAACACTGTACACGATTCCTATCCCAACCTCCTTGGTGTTGAAATTGTGCTATTAGAGCTTTGTTCCTTGGCTTATGGGTCTATCTCCTGATTAAAATGTAAATAGCCCTGAGAGTTATTGTGAGCCAATATGTTGTTTGTAAAAGATTTTCCTGTGGTACCAGATCTCTGACTGCACAGTCGGGCTGAGCGGGGTCAGGACGGGCACCCAATCAGCAAGGCTCCACGGGGAAAGGGAAGAGAAAGAGACCTGATGCCAGGGCCACTCGAGACAGTTCTGTGCCTCAGGCAGGGCTGCCAGCCTCAGTGAGCCTCTGGGCACTCTGGCCTGTCACCCCTCTGAGCCTGCACCTGCTGTGGTGTCAAGGCCAGCGTCACCACCCATTTAGCTTCTGGTTTCCCCAGCATGTGCTTCCAGAGCCGAGCTCGCCCCAGCTTCCAGCCATCCAGGCCTTGGGGGCAGAGCTGAGAAGCAAGGGGAGGGCACCCTATGCAGTAAGAACAGCAGCATCAACCCCCAGGGCGCCTGACACCTCCTGGAAGGCGATGGTGCTGCCTGCTCCTTGCTCTCTGTGAGCAGTCAAGCTGGGCTGGGAGGTGGAAGAATTAGGACATGGAATTCTCACCGTAGCTGGCCGTCCCACGGCCACGGTGAAATCGACCTGTGGCCAATCCTGCACCAGAGCCTCCCTTACCCATCCAGCCCCTCTCTCTGTCCCCTACCCAGCCAGTCATCCACCAAGGGTCCCTGAAGGCAGCTTTGACTCCCCCCGTGCACCCACCCCGTGCACCCACTGTCCTAAATATCTCCCTATCCAGAGTACCACACCCTGAATCAAGCCCACATCCCTCTTCCCTTTCACGTCTCTGCCCAGTCTTTCCGTACCCCCACACAGTCAGCACCAGGGTCGCTACTCTAAAAGTGCAGGTGTGGCCCATGCCTGCCACTGCCCTACTGAGAGCTCATCGGTGGCTCCCATCACCTGGGGCAGTGTTCCTTTACCTTATTTTTTTCCTAACTCCTACTCCTCTAGACAAAATTTTGTCAAATTTAGATTGATTACCCAAGTGACAGGTATTCTTTTTACATTTATCTAATATAAAATTTTAATTCTGAATTTACCTTTTCAAACCTAACACATGGTCCATGTTGAAAACTGAAACCCACCCATCCTGCCCAGGGGACTGTGGCTCTCCTGCTCTGGCCGCCCGCTTCCTCTGGGAGACTGCTGCCCTGCGGAGGGAGGTCCAAGCTCTTAGCTGGCACGGGCCTCCTCGAAGTGCCGGCCCCGCCCCCTGCCCCCTGCCCCCACGCCTGTCATTGGTACTATTCCTGGAGCCTGGAAGGCACTAGGCTAGTTCCCACCTTGTGGGTGGTCCATGCTGCTCTCCCCCTGGAGAACTCTTGCCTCTTGACCTTCTCCTTTCAGCTTGGATTGTCCTCTCCCAGAAGCCTTCCCCCACACCCCTGTGCCTTAGGCTCTCAAATGACCCTGACTCCCCCCTTTCACTCTACTTACCACCCAATAGTAACAGTCTGTTCCCATGAACTCCTAGTGGGCAAGGCCTGTGTCTTCAGCATTTCTTTGCTCCCCATATTGCCATAGGACCTGGGGCCAGGTAGGTCCTAAATAAACATGAGTTGGAACTAAAACTCAACTAACAGTGGATTGCAAGGAGTCAGGCTGGTTTGGCAAAGCAGCCTGGGGTCCAGGCCCTGGGGTCCCAGGGGTTGGTTAGCAAGGCCCCAGGGGAGCTCCTGGCACAGTGTGGGGAGACAGACCCTCAGCAGCGCATTTCAGGCTTAGGTGCTGAGTGTTCGTGGAGGCTGCGTGGCTGTGCCCTAGTGCCTAAATCACCCCGGCTGAAACAGAGCATTCTTTTGTTATGTAGCCCAAATGCTGCGCCCTTCTGGCAGCCATTCTTCATGCCTATTTTGGAGCAGAATTCCAGCAACTGATTACAGCTCTCAAACTACCAAATCCCACCCCACAATATAACCTTATGATTATGAGGAGACGAGAGAAGGTAATGTTACATACTGCACATCCTGTGCCACAATCCCTGTGCCTCCCCTCCGTTCAGCACTGCCCTTCATCTCACCTCTTCCCACCAGCAGCCCTCCCCTGCCCCCACACCTCTACGCCTCCGCTCTCCACTCAGGAAGCCCTGGGGCTCCCCCTAGGCACCTCCAGTCTGCATCCGCACACTCTTGACCCTGCTCAGCAAGGACTCTGTTTGGGATTCACGTCCTAGGAGAGCAGCTGAGGACTGCGAATCATGAAAGACACTCCCTGTCACAGGTCATTTTCTCTCCTGTCCCTCTGAAGACCAGGTACGTGTAATCACTGGAGTATGAAATCACATCTCTATGGGTCATTCCTTATAGCTGTAGAAAAAACAGAAGGCCTAGAAGGGGAGTAACAGATGTCCAAGTTATCTGACTTTTTGTTTAAAATCTGTTTAAGCTTGTGAGCACCAAGGAGAGGCAGGTGCCTGTCCCCTGCCACTTCGGGTGGAGGTGCCCAGACAGGAGCGTACAGTCTGTATCGCCTGGCACCCTGAATCCTAGGGGGAAAGATACTGCAAGGTGTCATTTCCCAGCTGCTCCCACCACTGCCCTGGGCAAGGCCACACTCCTGTGGTGGTGCCAGCCTCTGAAAGCCCTCGTCTCCTGTCCCACAGCTCACCCCAGACAAGGACACACAGAATTTGCTCCAAGTTTTACTCTGGAAGTCAGAGCCCAAACTCACCGATCCCTGAAAGACACTTCCAAACGCAAGGGAGGAGCCAGTCTCAGCCTTGCTGCTGTGACCTAGCAGAGTAACGGGAGACTGTTGAATAAGGGACTGGGCCACACCCTGCCTGGTCTGTTCAGATACAGAGAAAGCTCTTACTGCTGGGGGGTGGGATTAGGGGTAAAGCTTATCATCCACTTCTTCACAGGCTTCTGACTTTTTCAAAGGTCTACATCAGGTATTAACTGCTGTAACCATTTAAGACAGAAACAGTTTAAGAGAAGAAAGGGAGAGAGAGGGCTGAGACTCCCTCTGCCCAACTCTGGAAACCCTCTGGGATGGAAGGATCCTTTGACCCCTGACAGCTGCAGGCCCAAGCAGCACTCATCTCTGAGCAGCTCAGCTGCTTCCCTGGTGAAGGCCAGTGAATTTGATTAGCTTTCTAGCAAAGGACCCTTCTCACCAGTGCTGCAGGGAAGGGCCCACCACCCTGGTCTCCAGGGGAGGAAGCCGAGGCCCCAGGAAGTAGAGTGACTTGATCAGGGCCATGGAACTAGTGAAGGACAGGGCTGGGTTGACCCACCGGGTTCCAGAACCTGTTCTCTCTTTTCACTTCACCACACTCTCCTCCTCTCATCCAAATGAAGGTAAGCAGAAGCAGGGAGCCTGGTAGGAAAGTGGGGAATGGAAATCAGAAAGTGGCCAGAGCCCAAGGCCCAGGCACCATA